ACAATTTTTATATTTGATCTCAATTCCTCATAAAATTCCACTAAACCTCGCCTAAGTACTTCTTTGCGGTATGGGAGCGTAACTGTTAGAGAATACCGACTAAATATATCCATGATAGTTTAAAACAACTAATAAACACATCATCTCATTTTTGTAAGGCAAAATATATGCATGTTACGAATGGCATAGTGATTATTTCAAATTGTTTCTTTGTAGTTATATTAGATATGCATTTATAATACTATTAAGGGATAGGTGTGGTGAGCATATCAATAAGTCAGAGAAAATATTTTGGCGACTGCGATACTAATAGTGGTTTGTACAAGTAGCTTTTTTTTGCAGGTTGCTGAATCATTTGCTGCTGAGTATAAGGATAAACTGCCAAATATGATACGTGAATATGAGTTGGTATCTAGTAAATGTGGTGTGATCGACTTATCCTGGCGTGGCAAAATTGAAGTTGTCCTTTTTTATTCACTAACTAATAATTCCTTATTTTTATTCATTTGTTTTTTCGCCACGGCATTAGAAAGAAATTTTAACATTAAAGATCTGAGTTGCCAGGTCATCATTGGAAGTGAGAGGAAAACGTTAAAATTCTCAATAAAAATAGTGAAGTAAATTTTAGAGAAAAAACTCAGTATTCAGTCTTCATTAAGGTCTGAATGTTAGGTTTAATGTTTTTTTTGCTTAAAATGTGCTCCTGTTTTCAGGTACGTGGCAGGGATTCTGGCAAGTTGCTCAGTTATGTACTAGCTAGCGAGCCACCTCAACTAGGCGAAGTATTGTCGGGATTGATGCTTACGAAAAAGGGGAATATTTTCGGATCGTTAGACCTTTTCCATCATGATCAGTACAGGTACTTCCGCAATATGAAGAGAACCTGTTGATTTAATTGTTAATTGAAAGCCACTAGGATTATCTCGTCGTTTATTATTCAGAAATTTTAATAAGCGAAAACTTTTTTAAGTGAAATTTTCACTTTATAATTTTGCTTAGTTAATTACAAAATGAGAGCCATCGGTTCCAACTACTGTAACATTTAAAAATTTGAAATATTGCAGGTCAGAATTTATACTTTTAACTGACCCAGAACGAGAATCTCGTGAGCTTAACTGGCTGAAAAGAGCTGCAATTGAGATAGGCGCTAGTGTGGAAATATCCGGCGTAAGTGAGTATCTGGCTTCGCTTGCTATTGTCGGTCCAAAAAGTCGGGAAGTAGGTTTTTTTTTTCAGTTATAACGACCAAGTAAATGATTTACAACTATGATTTACATTCCTTATTACTTGCTAGTATCATATCTTTTGGTATAGATTAAGTATAAGGTAAAATATGCTGAGATGTAATATTAGAATTCACCGTCCAAATTATGTCATTCATCATATTAGTCGAGCAAGAAAATTCCTTTGGGCTAGTTTAATGTTTTCCTCACATATAAATAAAGAGCTCTGCAGTTCATAGTCCTTTTCATACGTCAGATGTACAGATGCTCCATACTTGAAACTCCTGCAACTTGTAACCAAAATTTTTATAAACTCCTATAATTGAAACTCTTATAATTTTGATTTATTGTCGCAATTCATTTATGATTATTTCGATATATTATATTCATGTATAAATGATTTCAACTCTATGTCAGGAATAAATTCTAAAACAATCTAGAAGTTGAAAATTTAGGTGCTAGAAGAATTAACCAAATCGGACTTAGGCTTTAAACAAAACGCTGTTAGACTAATGAGGCTTGGCTCGGCACCAGTTATTGCTGTTCGTACTACAGCTGCTACAGGACAACTTTCTTATGAACTTTATCATAGCAGGTTTGATGTCATATATGGAATTAGATCAGTAAAAGTATGTTTTAAATTTGCTCATAAGTTCAAATTTGCTTTCTTACAAAAAGCCTCATTGTAGTTTTTAAAAATCTGTTGATTTTGCACTTTTAGTTTCAAAATTTTGAAGCTATAAGTTCACGAAAACTAAGCATTTAGTGTATTATTTGCTGACAATATATCCATAATCGAAAAGTAGTTTATCGGCTCTCAAAAATGTCAATTATAGTATCAGTTATTAAGCATTTTTTTTTCAGAGGTGATACGCTAGCACTCTACAATTCATTAATGGAGGTTGGCAAAAATTATGGAATTGTTAATTTTGGTCAAAGTACATTGAATATGATGCGCATTGAGAATGGCTATAAGATTTGGGGCAGAGAAGTATGCTTATTTGTTCATGTATCTTTGTATGATATATAAAATTATTCGGTGCACTTTATTGTTCCCATCCTTCTACTACTGTTTGATAAGGAATGATACGGCGTGTAATATCAAGACTGTCCAATAGCATTTCGTGAATTAGTATAGGAAAATTTTTCAACATTACGAACATCGAATTATTATTACGTTTTGTAGTTCAAGCACATTAGGGTTTATCGTTCTGTTTTATATTTAAAATTTTTGATTGTTATTTATATACAGCGATAATGAAATATTTTCTTTGAAAAAAAATATTTATTGTTAATGAATATTTCTTTTTCTCTTACAGCTTACGCTAAACACAAATCCTTACGAATGTGGATTGAGCCAAATGGTGGATCTGAACAAGGAAAACTTCATTGGCAAAATGTCTTGCATGGAGCTGTCACAGAAACAGTGGAGTCGGAAGCAGGTATTTTAAAATTTCAAGAAACGAATTCTTGGATCAGTTTCAAATCATTGCAGGGTAATGATCTGAAATATATGTAAATGTATCTGTGAAAAATGAATCCAACCATCTCAGCGATGCTTCTGTATAAAAAAGGGAATATTAGGAGCGGTGAGACACATTGTTTCCGAAAGAAAGATTGAAGACAGCATAAGGATATCTCAAACTTCGTTCTTGCTATTCTATCAATGACTTGGGGACCGGACAACATCATAGAACAAAACTGAAGTCAGACAAGTCCAATATTTATTCTTCGTTGGAAGCTGTTTTGAAATATGAAGCTATTCCGGAATACCGATTATTAAATACATTCACGGGAGCTTGAAACAAATTAACAACACAACAAGTATTACGAATGGTATGGTAATCCTGTTGAATTGTGTATTGTCGTGTTGGACATGTGGCTGTGATACCATCAAGAGTGTACGAGAAAGTGGTAGCAAGAGATCTCGCAACGCAGTGAAAATACATTTCCTTTTTGTTGAGAACAAATGGAAGAAACTTTTCTACAGCTAAATCAAATCGCTTAATTCTGAATTAAAAAGTTCTAGGTACTTCTGATTTGTGAGCCTCTTTCCGAACATCAGGGATGGAGAATGATACCGAAACGGATGGAAGTGATTCGTAAAGAAGGTTCAGAGGATGTGAGTTGTCTACTCTTCTATGCATGGTGATTTTTTACATCCTACGAATTGTTGTAACATATGTTGTCAAGTAATTGTATTGTTTCAGCGAGTGGGACAGATAACATCGGGAACATTTAGTGTTCGTCTTCATCGACCACTTGCTTTCGCTTGGGTACATTCGGATATCACTCCTGAAGATAAGGTTCGACCCTTTACTTAAATAAAATAGAAGTCTTTCCTGTCAGCCGTTGCGATGGAAGACCGGATGCTGGGTAGATAAACACTTATCTCAGTGGGATATTAATTTGTTATGACAGATATCATTACAAAAACCGACCTCCCACAAGCGAACCGTTCAAGTCTTTTTAAAATACTCTAGTAGTTCCATCTAATATTTAAGACTTTAAATAAATTTACTCAAAATTTCCCACATAGTCTATGTTTAGATGTTACAGTTCGAAGCTAGGTGCATATGAAAACATTTATAATCAAGTTATTTATAGCTATGGATTGATATCGGTGGTTCGCAAATACAAGGCAGTATTTATGAAGGTTCCACAGTGTGTGATCTTGAGGAGGCCAAGTTTTCTGAGGATGCTATATCTCGCTAGTGTTAATGAACGATAAGCTAGGCACTGAAGTAAATTTTTGCGAATAGAAGTTATGATTTCAGTGAGAAGCGAAAAGTCCATTTTGAAATAGCATTCAAAGGGAAGCACTATTTTTAGACTCTACAGAATGACACAATTCTCATTTACCAAACTGCTAAAACTTTTAAAAATGGAACAAGAGGAAGGTAGAATAAAGTGATGAATTCGAATTTTGCTTCGATCGAGAGGCAGTTGTCCAATATGAACTTCTATTGTAGGGAGATACTATGCACCAAATCTATGCATACCTGAAAAAAGCTTTGCGCAAGTATCTCAACTACAGTATCTCATGAATAACATTCCTATAAAGAATAAGGGGCTTTTTAATGCCTGTTTTGGGAAAGAATACTGGAAATAATACCAGATATGCAAGGACTTTAATGTTTTACAAGCGTAAGGGGCTGAAGACTAATTTTGACACTCGCTTGGTCGTTATTCGGTTGGAATTATAAAAGCTAGACACAATACAAGAACATTGAAATAAGTCCAATGATAAAAAGAGTAAAAATTTAGTTATAATTGCTTTATATAAAAGCAAAGAGCGAACAAAATGTCGAAAAAACGATTCAATGATCATTTCCTTCTGTATTATGTACATACAACTTTATTAATTGAGTCATTTTGAAGCTACATCAACTATGTGTAATCAATTTATCGATTACTTGTTGAAATCCTCGTAAAATGTTTATGTTCTTTCATGTAACAAACTTCAACATGCATTTTCTAGTAGTGAATTTTTAACTGCTATTTCGATGTCGGGAAAAATAATTTTGTCGTTCTGTAATCTATGAATTGTAGCAGTAATGTTTACAAATTTTGGGATGAACGGACCTCAACAGGAAACATAAATTACCGATAAATTTTGGCAGATATTTATCTTTTTATTTCTGAAATCATCACGTATGATTTTTCAGAATCTCTCATTTTTTGCTTTTCACATAACAAAAAAGAAAATTGCTGACATGAGTAGTATTACTGCTGCTTTTGCAAAAACTACGTCATATATTTTTATAGGTGAAGAGGCTAACGAAGTATATATCCATTGTTACTTGGGACAAGCTCAAAATCCGGATCACTGAGTCTTTGAATAACTACGTTAGCCAGATTCTCTTTCCGTTCCTTTTCTCGACTCTTATTGCATTCACCTTTTCGTAACACAGCATTTGCTAGTTGAACATTCAGTGCGTTTATCGATATTTTTTGTTCCCATCTGAAATAATTTGAATTTGGATATTAAACATTATTTTAACCTTCAAAGAAAAGAGAGCTCGAAATAGTATGCAAGAAAAGATCATGCCCTGTTCCGCGTTCGGCAACATATCGTAAAGGCATTCGAACTGTACGAAGACCGCTTTCCAATTTATCAAATGAAGTTCCTTTGGTCGGCATCACTTTAATGGCCATTTTTAACTGATTCAAAAGATAAGACGTATAAAAATCGGATGGGCCATCATCGCTCCTGCATAATTCAAATTTGCCGCCTTTCGCGCGCACTTCTGTATCTTCCTATAATATTGCCAACGACTGCGCATTCAGTGATTAACAAAATTGTGAAGCGTCAAATTTTATAAATGTTCTGTCTGAAACTGCACATGGTGTGTGAGCTTTCAGTTTCTTAGTTAAGTCGCTTTCAGTTTCTGGATCTCAAATTGAAAGAAAAGTTTAAAAGAAAGTTATTTCATACAATACGATCCTGAAAGTGGTAATTTTTTTTATTTCCCAGGATATCATTTTCATCTGAAAGGAGCACTGGAGAAGGAGTTATACCCTTGACAAGGATGCTAAGGCAGCTGCAGCAGCAAAATTTTTTGCATCGTTGTCATTCCATGCCGGTAAAATTCCTTCCAAAACAGTGACATCATTCACAAGAAGCACTGATTTGCCATTTTCAAGACTTTTCAATTCCCACTTGTACTTGAGTCGAGAAGTTAGTTGGTTGAGTGAAACGAGCGGCTCACTCTCCTTTTCAAGGACAGTCAACTGCGCTCTTATCAGCATAAAACTCTGCAAAAGAAGCGTGTTCATGTATTACAGAAGGATGATAGAAAGTTTTGCAAAATTCTTGATGCTTCTAATCAAAAACTTTCTAACAATTCTAAATCAGAACACCTGCATCATTGCACAATTAAAAACGGAGAATAAGTTTTAACTTTTTCCACATAAATTCAAGCAAACCTTCCTTTTCAAAGCGCATGGCGAGTCCTCACTGATAATACTTCCACTTTTTGACTCCAATTTTGCTTTCTTCAAAACAGATGCCATGACGGAACCTTGCTCAAAAGTTCGTTTACGGTCCTACAAAAAAAATTTATACTGTGTGGAAAACTTTTGGTGGTTTTACTTTAATAAAAATAATCTTCCTCTTGATAATTAAATTTTATTTTCTTCCTATCCTTATGTACAGATTTGAAATTTCAAATTCATGACTTCATTAATTTTGAGAAGGATATTAACCTTAACCATTTCGCACAATCCTTCACCCATTTCCCTGACTGTCTTCATCAATTCCTGATCATACCTACAAAGAGAGTTACACTTACAAAGATAAATTTATCTTTTCACTTCACCTATATTTATTAAAAATAGCTTTCTTCAATTGATTTTATATCTTCTTACGAATGCCTGCTTGCCAAATTAAATATTCTAGGAATCAGCACCGAGGTGGAAACAAATCTTGTTTAGATTAGTTTAATAGTTTTGTTAGTTAGTTCACAAATAGCAACACACTGTCACTTAGAAAGATTAAAGGTGATGCTAAGATGAACTGAATAAATTCGAAAATCTGCTAACTAACGAAACTATTAAATTAATCGTAAATCACCAGTTTTTCGATGAAAATGTTGAACTACTATCCAAAAAGAAACGACATTTAATTAAACAATTCCACGAAAAAAATGATTTTTTTGCTAATAAAATGCATTTAAAGTTTAGCAAAACTATACCAATCTAGCTTAGCTAGAACAAGCTGCTTTTAACAAGCTACTATTGGCTAAATGAATAAATAAGTAGTTAATCTCTTGCCTAGTATCTCCTACAATATCAACATTAATCCATCAGCATAAAAATTAAAACACATACAACCAATAAAAACTTACACACAACCGAGAGAGATCATATTACAGAAGATTTGTGCCAGGCAGAGAAGTTGATTTTTTGGATAATCAGCAATATGTCGTTCAAGAAACATTCGCCGTAACTTCCACTGCTCATCACTTTCATGTATTGCTCTTAAGCTGTCCAAATTATCCACATTTAAGAATTCACCCATTAGAAACGTTTCACCCTGCAAATAGCACTTGTAATTTTTTTGCAAGAATTTTAAAATTACCTCTCTCTTGACATCCTTGAAACACAGCAGAACATATTCTTCGAAAGTTTCTAGTTAGACGAAGAATCAATATGAAATCCCAACAAACAGAAGAAAAATCAGGATGGCTGCTTATCACTATTATAGCATTAATGCTAACGAATACATATACAATATAACCACTGTATTATCCATAATCTTGATCCTCGGAATACAATTTTGATGGTGAAAGTCGGTTACAAAATTTTCTCAATCTTTATGGCGGAATTTCCCTTATAAATTCTTCTTGAGGTATATCATTCCATTAAAGTGAGCCCGTTCCGTCACTAAATTGCTGAATTACTGATACAAAAGCCTAAATATGGTGTAATATCCCTAATATCCCTGAGCCTACACGATGCACAATAAAAAGCCTCACTACTTTCAACAGATTCTGGCATAAATGTATCACACGAAAGACATTCCTCGAAACAAATATTAAAGATTGGATTGAATGCATTTTGCGCCAAAATGACATTTCAAATAAATTTAAATTATCGGAAAATAAACAGTCCAATCTGTGCATTATTACGATTAAAAGTTATCACGTTTATTGGGATATAAACGATAATCCAGAAAAACAACACGGAAAATAGCGATATTTGAAAGAAGAGATTGAGTTAAAATTAAATTTCCCGTAGCATGCTGATGAAACTTCAATTTTTAAATGTTGAATAATAGAATAAAATACAATGAAAATATCTTGATTTAAATTTTAATTTTAACTAAAATAATCGATGTAAGAAAATAATACCTTACTAGTCGTTATTGCATTAACAGTAACAACAAATTACACTTAGTCTTCATTTCATATTTTACTTCTCAAAGTTTCCTGATATCACAATAAGCTTAACACAACTAAACCAAATGCTTATTTTTGAATGTATGGTTTCTATGCTCTCCTCAATTTATCATCCAATTGACCGCATGAAATCAGTGCAAAAATCTACTATACAACATCATGCAAAGTAATGTTATTGAGCAGTAAGAAAAGGGGAGAAAAAAGAGCATAATAAAGAAAAAACAAATTGGTATCAAATTACGGTAGTAAGCTAAGTAACGCAAATTGAGGCACGGTTTCTGGAATGCAACAATTGATGAATGTGCTGGAACAGAAACATTGGGATATTCCGGGTCAAGCAAAAGCCGAGCAATGAAACCAGTTAATGTAGAATCTTTGTAGCACTGCGAAAGATGTTGAATGAATCCGATATGGTTAATAGCTCTAGAAACCCGATACAGTAGTCTAGACAACCACCAAACTTCATCGGAACGAAGTGATGAAATAATTGGTGGTGTTGCTTTCCAGCATTTCGAATAATCAAAACGGTGCGTTCCTTGAGCAACCTATAAATTTGGTCAAATTTGCAAATCAAAATTTTCTCGTAAATTCCTATAAATTTAGTTAAATACTAAAAATCAATATACACAGATTGTTTTCTTGTCGCTTAATATTGTTACTTTTGCGATTACGCAAGAGATCGTTTAATATTAATGTCAGAAAGTGATTAGAACATCACCAGCGTACCACGTAAACACTTCGTTTGAAGAAATTGCTGGTAGAATAAGTGGCTGAACTGGACTTTTTGGAATTACTTATAAAATGAGCGGCTATTTCGTTGGTCAAGTCATTGCCATTGTTATTTCCTCATCAAGATCAAATAAACAATTGCATTTAGCAAGATCCAATCATGAACTTTACTTCAAAAACTAAAAGTATATTTCAGCCCACCTGTTTTCGTCCAAGTGGTGTAAGATACATTAATTTTGTTGCTGGATCAACATAATAATCGGGGATCTGCTTTCGTGAGAATGGTGAGAAAGAGCTCAATGAATTATGTGAATTAGAAGTATTCATAATACTAATTGGTGATTCATTTGTTGAAAAATATTGTGACTCATTGCAACCGGAATCTGACATAGCTTTGCTTGCATCCACAATAAGCCTCTCCAGTGCTTCCAGAGTCTTTTTGTGTTCAGACAAAAGCAATTCCTCTTCTACAAATAACATTTTATATCAAACTGAACTGAATGGTTTATGAAACTTACATTAGTAAAACTAACGATTTCTTGTTATTGGATTCCATTTCTTAATAAAAATTTTTTACACAAATATCTTGTTGCAGTAAATAAAAATAAAAAACCATTAAAATGGTTACAGATTTTCCTATCATATTATAAATGAATATGGCAAAAAATTTTTAGTGTCTGGAATATGCAACAAAAAGTAATGCAATGGAACTTTGCACTTTAAAATATGGAGAGAGCATTTTGGAATATATTATTCTTCATCATATGCGGCAATTTACATCATTATTAGCGAGATAATCATAAAGACATGTTTAAAAATATTCACGAAAGAATATAGAATCAAAAGCTAAAATGAATCTTAACTGTAAGAAAAAGAAAACCATTTAATGGCAATTCTAATAAGTATTAATAACCATTTCAATTTTTCCATCTCGCCAAAAAAAATTCTTCCCTTACTTTTATGCAGAATAAACAAAAATGTTTAAAAGCAAAATCATACCAAGGTGAAAGAAAGTGCGTTGAAACCAGCCTGCTTTTTCCAACCTTTCTTCATCTTTCAGCACTCTCAAACACAAATTTTCTGCACCCTCTTTCAATGAATTCATTAAAATAAGCACATTTGGCTCCAAATTATATTCCAATGCTTCGTAGACCTGCATAAACTTCCAATGCCATAAAATTACTATTTAAGTTCACTTCTTTGATCGCTAAATTTTATCGAAAATCCTTCCATTTAGTTTTAGATTCTTTTGAATTTTTTTTGTCCTAATTTTTGTGACTGAACGAAAACATTAAGCCAAAAAAAAAAATCGGTTCTTTTGTTCTTTAAAAAGAAAAACATAATCTAGATTGATGTATATTAATACATTGCAACACCTAACTTACTACCATTCCTATATCACGATAAGATGTTCAGGTCAGATTTTTTAGAAGGGAGTTAAAGTGAATAAATTGTATATGAAAACTCAAATCATTCAAATTGTATCAATGGTAAATTTTTCAAAAATCACTTATATCCTTTCTATATCCGAATTTAAAATCATTTGGATCTCAAACCACGAAAAGCTTACCTCTAGCATATCAGGAGAAGTCAAAATACAAATGTATGAAGCTAAATTTTCTATATCCTGTGTACATTCGAGTGAAAATTTCCGTCGCCAGAATGCATCTGACAAATCGACATAAAAACGACGATTAGAACGAATGAACGGCATAATACGTTGTAGATCATTGTCACAGTAACGCCACGGTCGGATCCACGTAACCCATACATCTAAAAATCTGAAAATAATATCCTGCCCTGCTCTTTGAAATATAGCGCTCGCATCGAGAAATCAGTATCTCAGAAAAATTTAGATTTGGGAGCATAATTCAAGCGCATATTTTAATGAGAAACAGAAAGTACAAACAAATGAATCAATGAAGATTAACCGAAAAGATTGGTAAATGACGGATTTGGTGGCCAACGAGTAAATAATGACAAGAAAAAATCAAAAAGTTCATCCGCAAATGGTGCATTCCATTGCAATTGAAGTTTTGATTGGGAAAAATTGAACTCTTCCGATTCAGCAAGTGCAAATACATGAATTTCTCTAAGAACAAATCTGAAATAGAAACACCATAATTTTAATTTTTTTAAAGAACACAACCAAAAATTATTGTATTGGAAATAAATTTGAAAGTGACCAAAGAAGAAGCATTAAAAGAAGACTAAAATCCTCGAATAAATTTGAGTTTTAAAATACTCTTTAGTGATGGAACATCCGATAACATTTAAACTCATCATATATAATCATAGTTAACCTTAGGGCCATGAAACGATAATCAGTTGGCCAATTTGATAGCGAGCAGTATGAGCGAACAAGAATACATATGAATGTTAGAAAATGTGGTGAAATGGATTGCGTCATAGTCCGTAATGTTCGAATGGAGTGTGACGAGGGGCAGAGCGCATACCGTCTTAAAGCTTCCTGTAATCATGAAGTTTGAAATACATATAAAACAAATATCATAACTGATAGCTGCTAGCAAAGTGAAATCTTTGGAAATCATGATTAATTATTTCGAGAATACTATTGGAGCGATGTAAATCTGCGATTATAAATTTCGATTAATGAGTCTCTAATAATGCCAATGAACAGTCAAAATCGACCGAACCTATATGCTAATCGAAATAAGCAAACAGGAACGACGGAAGCTTCTCAGAAGCTTGAGATAAAGTTGAAAAGACTTTGCTTTGCATATCATTACTGAGATTAGTTATTTTAAGAGCTAACTAAGACTAGACTATTCAAAAATTAGCAAACCAAACAACAGGGTAGCTTATATTTGCAATGTAGAAACAAAAGCTAAACTTGATGTGCATTCATTCCATAACTTTAGCTCACGACACTAAATGATTGTGTAGTTTTTGTGATAAATGAAATTACGACAAACAAAAAAAGATTTTTTTTTGACAAACACACTTCTTTAAAGAGATTCAGCGGTGTACTGTAACTACTCTTCATCGTATTGCCAGAATGAATTTTTTTCGCTGTTACAGCACTTGAATTTTCTTCATTCACCGGCATCATAAAACAAACATAATCGGCGAGAAGCCTCATATAAACGCTATCTTGAACCGTTTTCAGTTGTAATATACATGAGCTACGCTCCAAATGTCGGCAAAAAGAGATCACAAAGTACTCGAAAAATTCGATGTTTGATTCTAATAATAGCTGAAATATGAAATGTATATTTCCTTTCCTGCTTATATTTTCTAATTCAGTTCGATTTATAAACACAACAGAGATCAATGAAACGTCCATCTAATTGTTGCAATAAAGTATCCAGAGATTTTACTCACATATTAGCTCAACTACTAGTATTACAATAAAAAATTAATTTTGGAGTAGATATAAGAGATGGCGAGAGTAAAACCTTGCCTTGAATATAACGGAATTTGTTCCAATCAACTCAATCACTTGGTCATATTCATTTATAGAATCATTTATCCCTGATTGTAATAGGACAGATAAAAGATCGATTTGTGAATCATTGAAAATACGATCGATCGCCGATTGCAAAAAATACGTATCCACAGCGTAACTTTGATTCTGGATACGCAATAGGAGCTCACTGCAGGCAATTGATAAGCGTGATGGATAACTACCATACATATCCATTCCTAAAAAATTATTAGATTTAAGCCACCATAAATTCTAAGCAAACTAATTTACACATGGCTTGCTTGTAGAGAATAATCTTAACTTTGCTAATGGTAACATTTATACCACAGTAAACTAACCTCAATATTAGTTTCCAAATTGTAATAAAAAAGCTTAATTTTTTGTTCGTTCGTAATAATTTTTGAAAAGCATTAATTCGACCGGAAAAGGGGAAAATAGAACTTATACTGTGATTTGGATCGCATCAAAACCCAATTATCCTATACTGTAAAGCTAAGAAAGACTAAAAAGCATGGGCGTAAAACGAGAAGACATTCTAGAAGTTTAAATAAGGCTCTAAAAGTATTAATATTTTAATGATAGCATATCCCACGCAATCGTAGAAAAAAAATTGAGAAACACATATATAATTTTATTCCTGTGATATTATCACGAACGTTGTGGTAGTACTTATCAATTTGAACATTATGATAACGAGAACTTGATAAAATTTTCGACAAATTTTAAACCATCTAAAATGAAATATTACTGAAAATTGTTTTACAATAATCATATATTAGATCACTAAGAATGAAAACTTTTTATTAATATGCATGCTTTCAATGACATTTGGAACTCTCAATTTTTACTTAGCGAATATCAAAAATACTATATATAACATTTAGTGACAAAGAATTGCAAAATTAAAGCAACCAAAGTTTCGGAAAATACTTGATGAATATAAGTAATAATAGAAATCAGTGAAATTCCAAAAAAAAAGCTAAATTGAAATTCTACAAAAGTAAAATCCAAAAAAGCTAATCATTGAAACTAGTAATGATGATTATTGTTAACTTAAATTTAGTTGAAGATTGGATCGTTTGAATTCTAATATTACTTTTTTTTTGGAAAATCTGTCTTGTCTCTCAATCACTGATAAGCAGAAATAGCAAGAAATCAATAAAACTCCCAAAAAAAAAAACTAAAATGAATAATAAGACGCTCTAAATATATGCATAATCCAGAATTCAAAATGCTTTGTAACTACAGATCATGCACAATTACTTTTGTTCATAAAGCCAATTTACCGATGGATAAATTTTTTCTTTACACTGATGCTACTACAAACACTTACTTTTATTGCTGAGGTAAATCACTGATATGCAAATTTTTTTCAAACAGTTCAAAATATAATACTCAATAGAAAAGCAGCTTCATGTTTTGCGAAGCCTCCTTTCCCGTTTTTTTATCTTTTTTTCTTCTTCTTGCTCTGGTGGTTCTGCGAAAAACCATGGTGCAATGATCAGTTTCCATAGCTTATACAATACATAGGCCGGAATCAATAACAAGAACCATAAAATAATGGGCCAAATGGTAGCTGCTGTTGCAATGAATGAACATAAAATTACCACATCCTTACAGTATCTGAAATAATAATTACTGCTAATTGAAATTGGAAACTTCTAGCTAAAAGTAAAATAAAAAAAAATTGGAAACTAGTAATAATGATTACTACTACCTTGAATTAAAAATTTTTAGTTGAAAGTTGAGTCGTTTAAATTCTAATAATTTTATTCTCTTTTTGAAAATCAACTGCAGAAAGTCAAGGCTATAGAGATGATCCAAATGCAGACAAAAACATCCTAACGTTCACTATCCATGAACAAAATCTGCAAATCACTAACTCTCCAAAAGCATCTGGCTGATTCAGGTCTAAACCAGCATCTATTATCTGTCCCCTCTCGTTACGACGGCATACTGCCATAGAACGCATAAGTAGAATGGCTGCAACTTGAAACACACAGCAAATCGAAAATCCAAGCTGCAAAAAAACTGGTAACTCGTAATAGTTGTATACAAAATCTGATTAAATCTAGAATCAATAAATCGAAACAATTTCAGAATCTTGCCAACCATCAAGAAAACTTCTCTAGTATTCGAAAATCATCCTAGCGCCATAAACGTGAGAAGTTAGAACTGATTGTTTTGCATAAATCTACGATCGAATGATAATGAGAAACCTATACGCTATAAACAAACTATATAAAAGTAGGTTTAATCCATAATTGATAAGCGTTCGTATGGCGTCATATTTCACTATGATTCAGAACACTGTATTGAAAGCACTTATGTTACTTATCAACTAATATAAAAGTTCATTGGAAAACATACCCATTGCCACACTGGTCGTCTGAAGAAAAATAACGAAACCAATATGTAGAAAGCCTGTAAAACATGATTTTAAGATATCAAAAACGTGGATGATAATTATTTAATTTGTTATAGAACTGATGTGTATTCATATATCACTTTATTACTTCGTTTTAAGTTGTAAGAGTTATAAAAGTCACTATTGACATGTGACGAAAAAATAAAATAAAACCTAGAGTTTGAGCAATTATATCATAAAAATTTGTCTATACAGTTAATTTTTAATTTCCCATGAATGCTCCCAAATCTGATCTGAACACATTAATATCAGAGGAGCATGATAAGATTTGGGTAGCATCAAAATATAACGAAGCACAACTCCATGGAACTTTCAAGGCCCTCCAACAAGCAAATGGATTTTAAATGATTTTCATGAACTGAATGAACTTCTTTTAGGAACTCATCAATGCTTTTACCAATATGCAGTAGTCTACCCTTCAGAATAACCAATTATACTGAGTGACAGTAAATCCCCGATAGATTAACTTGCACTATGATCAAATAAAAAACGAAAAGTAAGAAATCAAGAGCGGAAAACTGAAAGTGCTTTATTTCATGTACATTAATTTCACTCTTTTTTCAATGCATGCATGCAATGCTTGCTATGCTATGAGAATGTTCCAACCGACGCTAATTTCTTCCAATTTATTACCTCAGCTGAATGTAAACAATAACTTAACCAGAGTTACTGATCACTAAATGATAAGTGATGTATTTCCTGTTTGATTAATCACTTGCAATCTGAACATTTTATAGTTCCATAAAGAAACTCTTTACAACTAATCAACTGCATTTTTTAATTCACAAATTGTTTTGAAATTCTCATAGTTCAACGAAAATCACTATAATACATTACTTCACATATGTAAAGTAACTTCGCGCAGAAAGCTAAAACAAAAAAAAAAAGTTAATGTATACTTACCGAGGAAAATACGGCAGCAGTTGAGTAATATAATATCACAGTTTTGTTTTCTTCATAAATTTGTCTCTGGCCACGTGTTGCAACTTTACCTGATCTTCCGCTTAAATTCATCACTGTCCAAGCATTATATTCATTTCACCGATATGACAACCCCCACTATAAATACAAATAACACATAATTTAAGATACATGAAATTCTTTTTAACGAAAATCGTTACAATGATGTAACTAATAGTTGCAGCAACAGTAGTTGTATAATAATTCCGGTTTTAAACTAGATGAGCAAATGATGAATGTATAAGCGCAAACTTTTCTAATCCATTTACTAAAAATCTAATTTCTATATAAATATTACGGTATAAAAACGAAACAATTAAAATCTGTTTTTACTTACTTATTTTAAATTTGAAAAATTTTAAAAATCTTTAAGGCAATATTACCTTAATGAACTTTTACGAAGAGTTTGGGAATTGTCATACTAATGAAATTATTACACTACAATTTATAAAGGATCTCTACGTGATAATTGCATATTACCTACCATCAATAATACTACCTCAATGAAATTTTACGATGAGTATGAAAATTGTCATGCAAATGAAATTATTGCTACAATTTCTAAAGGATCTCTACGTGATAATTGCATATTACCTACCATCAATAATACTACCTCAATGAAATTTTACGAAGAGTTTGGAAGTTGTCATGCTAATGAAATTATTACTACAGTTTCTAAAGGATCTCTACGTGATAATTGCATATTACCTACCATATGTTTCATAAATTTCAAAAAAGAATTTAGAGAATAAAAATAGCTATTATTCAAATATAATAAATAGCATTTCCTTTTTATCATGAAAAATACATTTACTGATTATCAACATACATTACACAACGTGTAACACTAACAAACTCCGAGGGAATATTTCTTTTTCTTCTTCATCAAAAATGACAAAATAAAAGAGATTGACAAAATTGAGCACAAAGTCTCACTATAAAGAGTAGAAAGAAAGATAACGCAACAAAAAAAAAGAATAATGCATTATGGCATGAAATAAATACATGCAGTAATTTAAGAAAAAAGAAATATATATGAAAATTGGACCGGGGATTTGTCATAAAACTCTTGTCAAAGTTTTAACAAAGAGATCAAGGTTAAAAACGCTTATTCCTACCAGTGTTGAGAGAGATCAAGGATAATCTTTCATAAACGGATACGAACAAATACTGCTAAGCGTTTCTAATCTTACTATCATTTTCGAGGAGAGGAAACAAAAAAAAAAAAAAAAAAAACAATGATTGAGTTTCGATATAATATCTAGTAACATATATCCAAAAGTCCAGAATCTAATTAAATTTAGACCAAAATGCAAAACAAAATAAAAGAACACAGCTTTCAAGTCGAATTTATTCACATGATGGAAACAAAAAACGTAAAGTTTAAATGATAAAATATTCAATTTGAAGTGAATATCACTAAAAGGCGGCATTTCATTTCTATTTATTTCGATGTAAATTGATGAAAACAATGAAAAATATTTAACTATATTAAAGAAAAAATGAAAAATTGGAGGGAAAGCATTAATGGCATGTTACACTGTTATCAGTGATCGTGTAACACTAGACGAAATATTTCATTTGAGATGAAAAATGAACCAGTTGCAGGACGAAGTACAAAAAAATGATTGAATGATTGAATTGGATCATCATCTGTCTGAAAAAAGAAATTAGTCAAACGATGTGATTTTTATTTTCGTCAGGAAACGTTAGAAATGCCCATCATACAATGAAAAGCTATTTATGATTGCGTATGCCAAACACCGACTTGTACTTCCATTAATTTTACAAAACCACCAAATCATCTCTCGTAATCCAGACTTCTTTGCATCTCAAAACGTGACCTAAGTATTAACAAGCCTTTTGTGGCAAACCTTCGCAATAACTAATCTGCCACGAAACATTTAAGCCGGGTTTTAGGAAAAAAATAAAAAAAAAAGAAGGAAATCCCGGAGTGAAAAGAAAGTTTCTTTTTTATAATTATTTATATTTCACAAAATCATCTTTTAAATTAAAAGAAACTGCTGGTCCAAAAATATATAGTTCGCAGAAAAGAATTAATTTTAGCATATTTTAAATAATTCATACATAATCAGCCACATTATATTTTTTATTTTTAAAATTCATTTGTACTCTGCGCTATAATTCTCTACTAAAATTATTTCTTTGAATCAGAAATCGAGTTTTATAGCTCGAAAAAGAGAAACAACCTTAAGTTGTCCGATGACTGCAACAAGTATGGACCCGTCTGGCAGTGGCTGACAATCTGTTTTTGTTATTGCTCGTTGTATCATCCTAAATGGCAAGGCCTGAAAAAAAACAATGAAGCAAATAGACAAAGTTTTAAGAACAAAGATATAAAGTGGTGCTCTTATTCTTTACTTCAATATAGCTAAAAAAAGTTATTTTTACGGAAAGTATATAGCAAGTATATAGATAAACTAAACGTTAATTTTGGAAAAGCAATGAGCTTTTTGGTAACCTCTCGTTTCCAAGCAATTTAATTCTTCTAACAAAAAAAAGCTGAAATGATAAAGTAACATCAACAGGATTTATATGCAGAAAAACCGCAGGCATGACAAGGCACGCTTTTGTCCAAATGAATTTGATCCCATTCCTTCTGTTAACGAAGGAACTCACATTTTTAAGGTTCATCAACAAAACATTACTATGATATACTAATGAGTTCTTGTCTTACATTTTTACACGGAATTTTCTACAGTTTAGAGACCAATGAACAATGAGTTCATAGCCAGATATCCGATTTCCTTACCAGCCAGCATCATCTTTCTATAGAAAAATTAATAATATTCATTTTTTCGTGTAACAAAAGTACTTACAGCAAATTTCTGCAAAATAGAATCCCGTCCTTTTACTTGCACACCCTCAAACGTCATATAGGAGTTCATGGGATCGTAAAGATCACTTAGGCCTGAACCTCGTGCTGTAGGATCCTGCACATCGAATTTTGAATAATAATGTTGGATAAAAGCATTCCCTATTTCTTCAAAGTTTGGATTAAAATTCATCCTGAAATACCAGGAATTTTAGTTTCAAGAAATTATATGGGAAAATCTTGGAACTAATAAATCCATTCAGTACCACAAAATATTACTACACAATATTTCACAATGTGTTACTTGATCCCACTAACAATTCATAGAAATTTTAAGGCGAATAAGTTTCAATTGAAAAGATCTAAATAGTAATTCCACAGATAAACAAAGTTTTTAAATAATTAGAAACCGATACCAAAACAGTCATTTCAACCGTTTAAGCCATCCGAAACACAGCACTTTCAAATCAACTAATTTCTTCCTTTTTTTCAGAAGAGGTTAAGGAAATTCCTCATCACAGTTTAAAAGGCAGAACTTACTCTTCTAAACAGACGATAATCTCAAAATCTCAAAAATCTTCCATTCAAAATCTAATGGCTAAAATTGTTAATATACAAGTGACAATCATTTTAAGCATCTCATCCTTCTGTAATAAAATTTCATTCTGTACCGTATATTTAAATGATTGATTGTGTAATGATTTTCTAAATAAATACTGATATTGAATGAAATAACATTTGTTAAATGATGAAAGAGCTTTGTTAAATGTCTTTATTATATCTCTATGCACAGAAATCAATTTTTTGAAATGCCTAAGAAAAGAATCGCTCAATCATCAGCTATCGGAAGTAGCTCGACGGCGGTGCAAATTCATTATCACGTTCATCGCGCTGCTTTGCGATCCATCTATCATAAAGCACTGAAATATAAAATTTTGTGCAAAGTTATAAGTCTTTCAATATGTACGTTACCCTTTTATTAATATCAAAATCAATGGGAGACACCGAAGATATTATACTGTTGATCTTTTAATCAATTTGCAAAAAATATACCTTTTCCACGGTCCCACTCGCGAACTGGAGTGAATTTTTTCTGTTCTGGTTGCTTCGCACACACTTCCATTGGGGGTCCATTAGGAAGAGGAATGTCAAGAAATTTCGCTTCATTATCTCCTGAAATGAAGAAAGAAGCTAACGAGAAAAATAAGATGAAAACAAATATCACTGATTCCACAATATTTATTATAAAGTGAAAATCACAAATCTTTCTTATTTTATAGTTAAATACATGGCATTTCCTACTACAAAATGTGCTAAGGTATTTAAATCTGAATTAACAATAATTCTTACCTTCAGAATCCCATAGAGGTAATTCCTGTAGACCTTTCCTCTTCCGGACTCTATTTAATTGTTCCAATTTCTTCTTTTCTCGCTCTTCAAGTAAATGCTTCCTTTTTGCTCGATGAACTTCAGTTTTCTAGAGACAAAAAATAATTGAAAAAAGAAAGTGCAAATACTAAAGTTCCCAAATTGAAAAATCCCAAATTGTAATTGGCATGACTTACCTTACTTAATTCCAATAATTCTTGTATTTGTTCTTGCCTTTTAGTTTCGCTGACTGGTAGCGGAACATGAGAAACACCATAAACGCGCTGTTCTAAATTTATTTTTCAAACTAGCAAGCAGTTACATGAAGAAAGTTTTCTCGTTAAAACAATTAAAAAATAAAGTCCTTAATAACGCTTTAAATCAATTATGATACATAATGAAAATGGTGAGCAGTTCAGTAATTATTCAGCAAAAATCAAATCGATTAATAATCGGTACAGTTTAAATTGACTGTCTAAAATCAAAAAAATTATAATGAAATAGCTTTTTTCATTATACTGCTCCATGTAAATGAAGATCTGTGAAACAAGCATACCTTCATCTGGATTAAAGTGTACTGCTTCGCTCCCTTCATTTTTCGCTTTCTCAGCATCGTCCAAACGTTGTTTCTCCTCCTCAAGCTTCTTTGCATTAAAATCTACCAAAAATTCTACTGGTTCATTATCACCTGAAATATAAGACTGTTCCTCCGTCAAGTCATCCATTCATCAATTAGATTACAAAAATGAATAATTCCACTTGACATAATTCACAAAAAACAAACCATTTAAAATTGCTTCGCCCTGACTTAAACGAGCATAAATTTCACTTTTTTCTTCCAGTATCTTTTGTACTCGTTTTCTCTGCTCCTCATCTTGTGCTATTGACTTTTCTAGATCACGGATACGGGCTTCTCGTTGCCGCTTCTCTTCTGTAATTTTCTTCTCTTCTTCTTTGCTGATCCGTAGGACACTCTATAGGAAATTTTTCTGTAGAAACTTTGCTTTTTTATTAAAACTATTTGGAATTATGGCAATCTTTCAAATCTACATCAAATGCTCATCAAACCAAATGCAATATACTCATTGTAAAGTTTGGTCATATGCTTGTCTAATCCAAAAACTTAATCTTCCTATGAAAAATAACTTCGAAAAATAATTTTGAGCGATATCGACTCTCAGACCTCCGCTAACGAGATGAATCGAAGGACCCATGCATATTTGTTTTCAGAGAACAACTTCATGAAATCACTGCATACCTTCTTGTTAGGAGCTCTCGCCGGAATCTTAGTTTTCTGACGCTGCTCGCTAATTTTGCGATACAATTCGCCCTTGAGCAGAAAAAGCGATGATGCATCTGACGTTTCCAGGTAATGCTTCTCACGATTTGAGGATGATGGACCGAGACTATCCATCATAGCTGTAAAATACAAATCCCTTCCACCTCATTAAAAAGAAACAAATCAGATATTCCACGCTCTTTTTCCATCCCCAACGGATAATCATTTCTTTCAGTCCATTTCGCAGTTCACTACCAATTTGACTAATTCCAATCTAACATCATTATTAGCAAGCAATCGAAATTTAAACTTACATTTTTAATATTCCATGTAACTCATTGTTCAAATGTCGAACTATTATTTTAATACTTAAATGCTAAGTCTGAAATAATGAAGCAATGCTGTTCATACTTCTGCTCGTGCATTACAAAATCACACCAATTCAAGTTATTTATTCATTAGTAACAATAAAAAAAACAACATTTCCAATCATCGTCATCTTTTCTACACAGTCTTACTGTAGGGCTCCTGCACCCCGACCATATCCACCCCGATAGCCTGATACTGGTGCTGCACCCGGACCTGCCTCGGTTACCTTTTCGGCTGTTCGGTATGCATCTCTATCGCTTTCTACTTTCGGTCCTAAAAAAACATTTACTCTTCAGAAAACATGGAATTTAGTAAGCATTAAGACAAAGAAAAAAGATATGTCATCTCTAAAGCGATTAACAGTTTAAAATTGAAGAAATAATCTGACTCACAAAGTATCAAATTTAGAGAATTAAAAATAAATACCTCGTGGCATACGCTCAAATCCGGGCCTTGGTTCTCGCTGTTTGGCCTTGACGGTAGATGGGACAATTTCAGTTGGTAAATGGAGATATTCTCGTAAATAATCAATACCCTCATTTGTCAAATACCAATAATGGTGGCGCCAAGCAAACTGTTCCTTTACATATTCTCGTGAAGCAAGACTCTGCAATTAAAAATTTTAATTAAAATGCTTTTCAAATCCACACCTTTTCTAACTTTCTCATACCATATTTCACAATATATGCCAATACCAATTAATATAGATGTTGTCTAAAACAACATAAAGCATGAAAAATTCACTTACATATCGGACAAACTGTTAACAAAAAACCGACTTGTACGTATGAAAGGAAAAGGAAATAATAGAAACGGCCCACCTTGCAAGCTTTAATCACCTCCAAATTGGTTACATTCGGTATGTCTGGATGTGTCTTCAAATTGTAATCCTTCTTTGCTACACATACGCCTTCTTTGAACAAATATTCATAAATAGCTTTCCGATTTTTTGTTGGCATCAACATCCTTGTTGGTTTTTCAAAAATTCTATTTGCAAAAACAAATTCCCCTGATATTATGATATTAATAGATGACAATAACGGCAGCAATTTAAGCCTTCGAAAGCATACAGCAAAGCTATTTTGAGAAGATATGAGAGGAATTAAAAGAACAATTCCATTAACATTCTGCAGCAAAATTCCATGACTGCCACTATGGTAACTAAGTGCCGATGCAAACGATCACTTGGAAAAAGCAGCTAACCCAATCCTTTTCCAGCATTTAGCATTCCAGCGTCAGTCAAACTCCACTTATTCATCAAAATACGGTGGTTAGTATAAGACTACAAACCATCCATCATTTTTACAAGTACAATATCCTTTATTTCTATGAAACATTGTACTACTGACAATTAAGCAACAGCGAAGTTTCGAGACAACTGGGCAAACGTAACATGCTAAGCCCTAATCCACATTAGCATCAATTCCAGATCTAGTGATTAAGCAACGACATACAGCAATCCGAAGTAAATCACACTCAACAACAAAAAAAACACCCTAATGGATGTTATAGTCCCACGACGGCCGTTTCCTGACAATTGTTCGTTAACGCGGTCGCGGTCCGTAATTAAATGATTCGTCCAAGTGCGGTCATGCAAGGGACTGCTAGCTTTATGTCAGTTGAGAGGGTGATACACGGGCAGTATGTGTTGTTGCCGCGAGTAACAAGAGCTATTTGCGAAGGAAGGAAGCCGGAATAAACCAATCGAAATATGCGTTTTATTGACTTGTTGAAAGGAATACAAGAATATCGGAGTAATATAGCTTAAGGAAAATTTTCTGTCCAAATTAAATTTACAAAAAAAAAGCATTGTGGGAATAGTATTAATGGATAAGATTTGACAAAGGGTAAATTAAAACTGAAAAATACAAAAAAATGACCTAATATCCCATGTGATTACGTACTACATATATATACAATACCGAAACAATAAGATATGAATAGTATATATCAAAAATATTTGGATACACTATAATATGAAACTACAAATATAACTTATTGCTTTCTTTGCGTCTATCATTTTAGAAACTACCTTACAATATGCCTATTATTTCACATTATATTATCAGTGGTGTAATGGGCACATCAAGTCTGTACATATCAGATTCATCCCATTACAATAGTAATGATCGCCATTAACCTGATCTGATAAGAATCATTGGCTAAAGTGAATTCTATTCTACCAAAGATATTTCATAACATTCAAAAAACCTGCTGATAAAAACGTAGAAAAAATATCTAAATACGAGAAAGAAGTACTTTCTATAAATTTTTGCGGTTCGAAAATATATTCCCAAAAAGGACTAAAAAATTCGTTCCAAGCTGTAAATTGCTCAAAAAACGACAAAAAAATTATGGAATATGTTCGTAGGGGGCAAAAAAACAATCCACGCAGAAAGATGGCAGAGACAGCGGAAAAAGCAGTCTGAAATGTAGCAATGAAAAGAGAAATAATGATAAATTGACAACATTCCAAAGAAAATAGCAATAAAGGCACGATAAACGGCCTCAAATTTGATACTGAAGATACTTTCAAATATACAACATATGTTGCACATACACACAAGCATACAACACGCATACAAACAAATATGTGAATATTCAACAACTCTTAATTATTATTACTACAACGATTTGTTAACACATTCGACTGCAGCGCGAAACTTGAGTGTTCATTCTAAAATTCCTTTGAATAAAGAAAGAAATATAGACGAAATTTACTAAGTAAAGTATAAGAGATGGTCACCGAAATACAGTGCAAACAAAGATAATGTGTTTGTTCAGCAAATAAGGCAAATGATGATCGAGGTAGCTTACTCTGTTCCCTAATTTACATTTTACAGCGCCTTAATTGCCGAGTACTAAATGTTCTGGGGCAATATACTGCGCTGAAAACTAATAAAGATGTGAATTAATGAAAGTAATTCAAAGAAAGAATAAAAGAAGTTGATCACTGGGTATAATTTCTCAGAATGTTATCCTGCACAAAATATAAGAATTCTGTAACAACCTCCAAAATAAAATCTTTCTAGAAATGTAACCGTTTCATTAATTTTAAACAATAAATTAAAGTTATGGAGTGTCATCAACGCGATCATTTGTTGAAGGCACCAAAAACGGCCCACATCACATCAACGCATGAATCTCTTTTCTTTTCGCTTTCAGCGTCGTAGTTAAGTTCAAGTAAAGATCGTACACGCTTCATTGCTATTTCATAATCCTAAAGAAAAGAAAAGGACTATGTGTAAACCTTTGATAGTACAATTAATTCAGATCAGCCAACAATGATGAATGATTCAATATTTAAAAACACTGTTGAATAAGGAGTTTGCAAATCAGCAAAATGTTGCTACACCGGCTATTATCATGGATTGAGTTAAAGATTCCCTGAATACAAACGCGTGGAAAATATATGGGATGAAAAGTTTCGAATCTAATGTTCCAACTCGAGCTATAAATTGCTTCTCGTCGAAAAAATCAAACCAGAGAACAAGAAATGGTCATTAAAGACGCTTTGAATTCTACTTCAAACTAGTCATATTTCACAGATAGAAACCTGAAAATGATTAATTTTTGGTACCGCTTATTGCAATAATTACGGGCTAATGAAAGAATAAAATCATAGAGAGATATAAAACAACTTAATGCATCTACAAAATCGTAATTTTAGTGCGAGATGGCTATTGTCTCCATTTAAATAGAATTTTTCTATTTTTCAAAGAACTACGTGCGATTACTGCTCACAGATTTATAACGCCTAAGTATCACCAAAAACTTAAAATCTCCAAGCAGTACGCCGGCAGAAGTTCGATGACACAACAGGTAGTATAACATTTAAAAACTTTATCCTGTTATGTTTTTTCTGATTTCGGTCGGTTCAATTTCAAGAAATGATGATATAAAAATGGGAAGTAAAACAGAGTCATAAAGCAATTTCTCATAGTTTTCCATATATAGAGATGAAATTCCTCCTCAAATTACTTTTGAACAGAAGTAATATGTGCAAACTCTAGAGGAGAAAAAAAGAATCACTTCAAAAACTCGACATTCTAAATTAAATTCCTTGGGTGCATTCGCTGTAATAAAAATAAAAAATGATCCGAAAATTCTTTGATGCCCAATCATTTAATGCTATTTTAGTTTAAAAACAAGAATTCGCAGTCAAAAACAGAGATGACCAATAGGTGCAGCTCATTTGGAAGTCACGAATAGAGCAACCTGATCATTAATCTCATCAGTCATGATTCAAAATCTGTAAAGTTTTTGTGGAAAAACAAAAAACTGGTTACCAACTAGTTATAACCATTAGAATAGTAAGTGTCAGTCGATTGTAAAATCAAGCGTGAAGGAAAGATACTAGCAAGTAATATGTACATAATTTTTAAGGACTTTGCTTAACACCAGGTTTCTTATGAATAAGGAGGAAAGCTACAAGTGAAGGTTTTACAAAAATAAATTCACATAAGTTCTGAACTAATTACTGGCAATGAACATTAAGTGGTAAGTACTGAATCCATGACCGAAAATTTTTATCAAAATACATTCAAGAACTGAACATTTTTCAAGAGAAAAATGTTGAATTTTTCCAACAGAAACTACACAAAAATTAATCGACAAAATCATTTATAAGTATAAATAATTATAATCTAAATAGAGTCTAAACTATTACACACAATTTCATTGTATATTATTAACAAAATTAATTGAGGTTCTGATGATGTTGAAAACTGAGATAATAAGCTCTATTTCACGCTTTAAAAATTATGGTCATTTTACAAAGAAACTTTTTTTTTCCTTTTGTTTTTAGAAAGCAGATAAAAAAAGAGTTAGTGTCGAACACCGCTAAAATAGTGAAATCTTGACAGTTCGATAAAAAAGGTCTCTCAGAAAAAAACAGATTTTCCAAGTCCTAAGTAATAATAGTTTAAAAGAATGCTAACCTGATCTGAAAGAGCGTTAAAAGCATTTTCTAAAACATCGCTGGCATGAGCCAACACTATCAACGATATCAATCTTTTCTCCATTCTGTGTACATCATTAGCCCATCGTGACAGTACAGTTTCCTGTACCTTCTGAAAAAAACCATGCTTAAAATCTGCACCTCTGTTCTTTTTTTCGGTAGAGAACAGAAATAATTATTCCTTTGAACTTCAGTCTCCTTCCGCTAACAGTTTCAAAATGAATGCCCTAATTAACTTCAGTGGGAAATAAAATTCATATGCAAAAGATCGAAACATATAACCAGTTGACAGCATATATTTTATCTTGATAATTATTACTGACTAAAAAACTAAATTTCCAATTAATTCTAAAAAAGAATATGACTTAGTTTCTATTATCTTGAAAAATAGAGGAATCATTTCTTCTTTGCTTAAATTAAAAGTGTAGACATTGATTTAGTAAGAAAACCAGCGCTGCGAAATGAAAACTTCTAGAAGCCTCATATTGGTTGTCGAAATAAAAAGATAAACTACAATTGTTTCAATTATTTCTTTTCTTTACAATGTATTAACGTGTTGACACGCGGAATACATGAAGAATATATGAAAAAACGACAACTTCCGAGACGTTGGAAGTAAACGATGCAACCAGAATGAACTGGATGCAAGTAACCAAATATTGCTGATGATAATCTCAATAATTCCATTTTTTTGGCTTATTTTTAGTATTGAATGGTAACGTTAGGATATTAAGTGATAACGGCAGTATTCATTATGATACAGAACATAATCCTCACAGCATCAAAACAAAGGCTGGTCTTTATCTTTCAAGTAGCTCATTTCTTAAAAACAAAAAAACCTTTATCAGTTTCTGTTTCATATTGCCATCATGAAGTGGATGGGTAGTCATGTCGAAGAGAAAGAAATTTTGCTTCTCCGTTGTTAATACACCTTTTTCGACCAAATTTTTCGCCAATCGTTCACGCACATTCCGAAGCTGAACGAAACATTTCACTCTATTCTCTATTAAACATTTTTAAACTGACGATTTGGTCCTTGAAATTCAGACAAATTAAATTAACAGTGCAGCAGACATTAAGATATAAACTTCAAGTTTCTCACAATCGAAAGTGAAAAATTGTCAGAAATAACCTGATAACGCAATTTGAGTGGATTCCAAGTTTCACCACTGAGATATTCAATCCAACTTGTCACGGTTTCCGGTGGTTGTGTTTCCTTGATATGCTTTAGTGCTTCATCCAAAATCACATCGCCTGTGGGTTGATCATTTTTCAATAAGACCTAAAGTATCGTAGTAGAGAATCATTTCAAACAGTACAAGTACAAGTGCCCAAATGGTGCACAAAAGCCATTTAAAACCATGAAGAAAAGTATTATTTTTAAAGACCCAATCAAGAATTACTTTTCAAAATTACGTTGTGCACAAGTATGAAACTTAGAAATCATGTGATGCAAAAACTGCTTTCTCTCAGAAACCACTCTTTGCTCTTTAAAAGCATATAACTTCGGATAGCAACAGCTTATGTATCAAAAGCTTTTCAGAACTTAACATAAATTTGCAAAAAGAAATCCAATTCTTCATTGAATTATTAACATAAGATACTGGATAACATAAATCTCACACAACTATATGATTTAAGTAAATATCACAGAAGCAAACCTTCCTACTCATCAAACTCTTCTTCCGCATTCCAGATTTTTCTAATTCAATCCGATTTCTCAGCGCCAGCTCAGTGAGAATGCATCCCCGAAGACCACTACTAATGCAATCATTCCAAAATGATGTATAACCCTGAATAAATAACAAATGGTTTTGGTCACAGCTAGATGCGCATTCCACTTCAATCTAGGATCGATAAACGAATTTACAGCCGGCAGTTCAAAACCATTTATTTTAAAGTATTCGTTTAGTAAGTTTCATCGAGTGATAATTTTTAGAAGTAGTTCGTAAAGATCCCACGCACAGCATTTCGAATTACATTAGAAAAAAAAACTAACTTCCCTATCCTTCAAACCCAGCAACAAGATTTGTTCCATTAACGTTAATCTTGTAGCTTTGTCATCGTCGTACTCGCCTTTAGAATCATCACTATCGATATTATCAATATCTTTTGCATTCTGGAAAAAGAAGCAATCATAATACTAAAAGAATGTGAGGAAATTAGAAAATCGTACAATTTCTTGATATTCAAATGTCCAACACGTTCCATTATTTGTTAACGGTTGCGTAAAGAGAATTTTTCTAAATTATAAACGTAAAGAATTAGCCAAGTTTAGATACCTCATCATTTTTGATAGATGCCAAGGCCGTTTTACGTCGTTGTACAAGACCGTCCGACATCCCACGTTTTCGCTAACTTTATAATTCAAATCTAAAACTTGAACAGAAAAACATATGATAATAACTGAACTGCATTTTAAAAGAAAGAGAGATGAGGTTTCCAATCGGTGGAATCTTTTTGTAATGCCGCTAATCATTGGCATTATTATCATTGCATGATAATTCAAGAAGTTTTTTTCTGTTTTCATCAGAATTATTCAATTTGTTACTTTTAACAACAAGTTACATATGATGGAATTGGTACATCATTTCTCTCTTTCTCTCCCTCTTATTAATTAAACATATTGACACAGAAAACAACGGATTAATTCAGCGAAGTCCCATTGCTCATTTCAAGCCATGTAAACACGGACAAATTAAATTTGTTATACTATCCATAATAAGATTAAATATTTACTACCAAACAGATATAAAATAAAATGTTTGACCTATAAAAGAATATAAGTCAAGGTATAAGCTAGCATTTGTAGGGCAAAAGAGAGGAATAGAGCAGAGAGAAATAAAGAAGAATTACCACTCGTCACGTTCTACTTCTTAATTCCGTAATTCTGATGGCATGTTCCGGATTTAATATAAGAAAAAAGGATGCTTCTTAACATAGGAAAAAAGCAGAAAAGGACGTTCCTTCGTGAATTGCACTTTTCAATAAAATTTGTTATTAAACCTAACTTGACGCATTCCTGCCAGGGTCTCTATATCCGCCAGACAAGTTCACCTGTCCTCTCCATCGTGTGAATACATTCCATTTCGTCTCCTCCTCCTTCTCCCTCCCTCTCCTCCCCCTGTCTGTCATACATATTCAAAATTTCGTTGTGAGAGAATTAAAGGAGTTTACAACCAGTGTTATTAAATGATGGATGCTACTGAATCCATCCGCGTGACGATTCTCTGATCTCTGGGTTCTATGAGAACTATAGGATATCAGCTAGGAGTGTTAATGGTGATGGATTGTAATTAAAGACAAAATTTTATCTGAAATGTCCATAGTGCTAAATATGAAATGATTCAGGGTTATGAGAAACCTTAATGGGTTGAATTTGAAGTGTTTCGGAGTTGTGTTGGATTTATAATGATTCGGAATTATACTAAACCTGATTATATAATAATGTGTAAATTAAAAGTCTTTTTTTGCATATGCAAATTTAGTTCCCTGGAAATTTCCACGATCGTATTTCGCTAGATATGTCCGGTGGATAAAAGAAGAGGAGTGTACTTTTCAAACGGAAATATGTATACGCTTGGAGTTGGCATATGGCAACGTTTGACGCAAAGGAGCAATTATTATATTGTCATTGTTGGATTGGATAATGCTGGAAAAACGGTAAATGCTTTTGAAATCTTGATTAATGGCGAAAATTTTTGTTGGTTCTTAGAATATCCCTCCACTTTTTTAGGACACTAGCAAGTTCCTTTTTCATCTTTTTTCTAAGCTTTTTTTTCAAGCTTCTAAACAGCTAAGAGCAGATGAAATTGCTTCCTGTTCGTTTCAGTATTCTATTTTTTTTTGTATTGATTCCGACATTAGAAATATAAAGAATTCTTTTCAAGGGGAATAATCGCTATTCCGAGGTTATCTAGCGATGGACGAGATATAAACTGTTTTCAGACTTTTCTAGAACAAATCAAGTCGAGATTTATCAGGAATTATCAGATGTTAAATCCACTGAAGATTACAAGCACTGTTGGTTTAAACGGTAAGTTAATTCGGAAAACGCTTACATAGGAAAAATGAGGACATTTGCGTTACTGTGTTTTCTGTAGATCTTTTTTAATGTCTGGGCATGTTTGCTTATCGGAACAGGATAAAATCCATTATTAGTAAACATTTTATTCAATCCTTTATCTATTATCACTACATTTATAACTTTACTCACCGATTTGCACAACCGTGGTAGCATTCGATCCTGATTAGTTAATTTTCATGCTTTTCGGAACAAAAAAATCTTTGTTGGTGATTGGAAACATAATGTTAAGCTAATGAATAATGTTAAACTAATGAAAAAAATAAAAAATATTTTAAAGTCTGAAAAAAAACTGTATACTTAAAATATCTTTTTTGTTAATGTTAGAAGATTTTTTTGAGGCAAGGTATTAACTGTTACAGTTGGAACAGTTGTGGTGGGCTCTCTCCGACTCAATTTTTGGGATCTCGGAGGACAGGAAGAATTGCAATCACTTTGGCACAAATACTTCGAGGATTCACAGGCACTCATATTTGTGGTTGATTCCTGTGACCCTGACCGATTTGCGGAAGTAGGTGAAGCCTTCAGTGAGTTTATAAATGATATCCATATATTTTGAAGGCCATTTCAAGTGAAGATTTCCAAATATTAAAATATACTTAACAAGGAAGTCTCATAGGCAAAGAATTAGTAATCATTTTTAAATTTCATACAGATTTGAAACATTCTCAAAACCCTTAGTTTCAGAATCGGTAATGAACAACGAAGCTGTCCAAAAAATGCCAGTTTTGGTGGTTTGCAACAAAAGTGACATAGAAGAATGCATCGGAACGGAAATAATCAGGATTCTAACAGCAGATGATAGACATGTAGGTGATCTAGCTCTCATCCCGATATCCGCATTACAAGGCCTTAATATTGAGCGTTGTATGCGCTGGCTCTGCACAGTGCTAACACGGAATTACTCTTCGATTGATCTCAGTTGATGAAACTTATTTTTTTCATTTTAATGATCTTAGTCTGTGATATTCTTTTTGGCTTTTTTCCAAACCTTGACGTTTTGAAACGAAAGCTTGTGCTTATCTTTGTAAATAACCATAACGTCCAGGATGTCACTTATACCATCTAAATGATAGGTATAACCAAAGTTCTAGTTCAATTTTATGCATTGTTTTACTTTTATTCATTGTATATTGTCGAAACTCTATGATAATTCCGCGCAATCCGTATAACGATCCGCCCAAAATCCTGGTGATTTGAGATTATTCACCCGTTTTCCACTATTGCTATAATTATTAATAGCATCTTGCACCAAGAGTTCCCGTCAAAATAAGGGAAAAGAATAAGATCAATGAAAATAATGATTGTGTGGGCAGAACGATTGGAAAACAACTGCACAAATGAAAACGAATTTATTGATAGCAGCAAGCAGCAGAAAAGGATCAAATAAAATGAATAAGCAAGAAACTAAACATCTTTGATTGTTGAAGCTCTCAGTTGAGGTGTAATAAAAGCACCGATATAAGATGCAAATGCCGAGAATGGTACCCACCCGATTCACCCAATAATTTATTCAATCAATATAAGATTTTAGAAAGCGAAGAATGCAGCCCAATAAAAAACTAGATTTGCCGTAACAATAAACTAAAAGCACGACAGAATCATAACCACTATCAAAAAGAGACACATTCGAAACACAAAACACTAAAATAACTTCAGATTCAGTTTCAACGAATTTAAATTTAAAAAAAAAATGCAAAACCCTCAAAAAAACGTAATTAAAATTAAAGCTGATGCTTTCCTGGCAATGCCATTTCCACATCTTCCTGCAATAAACAAAAGATGAGGACGGATGAATACAAACAAAGTTAATTTGAGCTACATCCTACAAATATGTTCAATAATACATGTTTGCGAATGCTTCACCCGTCGGAGCGCTTCTTCTAAGCTTACCCATTCCCGTTGTCGGCCAAAACAGCCATCTTCCCATTCCTGCAATTCTTCCTTAACCGTCAAAAGAAACACCACCGTCCTATGCCGTCTTTCTTCATCCTAAATTTAAAAGTCATAGCTGCACAAAATGAAAATTTGAATAAGATTACAAATCACAATAAAATTCATTATTTTTCTTTCAGCTCAAATACACTATAATGAACTAAAAACTGAAAGTGGATCAAGTAAATTTTTCCTCATCACCATCCCTCCTGTCAATTCCCTTCTACACTCTAAAACGTGATCTGGGTAACCATAAAATGTTAAATGAAATCTCCGAAATAAATCTCTAGAACACGAAATCCAACCGGACATTGGCTACACTATACTAAAACTGATCTCATAGTTATCGCAATACGTAGAACTTATCTCACTTGCCCATCCACTTTAATTGTTCTACTATTCTACTACCTCTATTTGTTCACACTTCTCTATTTTCTCATGAATAAGAAATTCAAATTTAGAAGGCGCGTATATTACATCGTCTAACCTCCAAAATTTTAATTAACAAAAACTTCAAACTGCAATAGAAATAAGAAAAGTACTAACCCTAAACTCTCCCACACGTGCCAAAATCTCTGCCTTAACTCCGGCTTCCTCAAAAACCTCACGTAAAGCAGCATCTGATTCATTTTCATCCTTCTCAATGCCGCCACCCGGAATGATCCACCGACCATCGTCTTTGCCACCGGTAATTAACAAGATTTCTCGACTGCTACCCTCACCGCGGGTGCATATCCCAGCAGCTCGTAGACGAAACCCCTCAGCATCTCGCACTCTCTCTCCATTATTCTTCCGCATTAGCCAAAACAACCGATTGGGTGTTACAGTAAAGTCATCGCTACCGAATACTAAAAATTTTGTAAAGTTTATATATGAGAGATGGTTTTGAATTCGATCTTAACTAGATCGATCTTCGAAATGAGTTACACTTTCATTTTCTGCTATATCTTGTAGTAGAGTGGGATATCTGTGGAAAATAAAGAATAGTCACGCCACAAACCAACTCTTAAAAACGAAAGGAGGCCATGGGAAAGATTTAGAAGGTGAAAAGCGTCGTGGCAACGCCACAGAAAAATGCGGAGAAGTATATACGGAATGAACTGAATTGGAAATAAACAACTTTAAGAGATTATCAAGCACTGCAAAAAGCCAACCGTTTCTTATTAGGATTTTACTTGCCTTTAATTATTCCGATAACTTATCTCACTTCATGCAAAATTTGAAAAGTGAAAATTAAGCGACTCTTTTGCTGTTTTAAGCTCGCACAAATAGGCAATCATATAAAAACAATGGCCAAAAAAACCAGTTATTTAGTTAAATTAAAACTGAAATACTATCAAAAATAAAATGTTAATAGGGCTTCGAGAGCAGCTATCTATAAAGTACCCAATCCACTTAACTACCATACTCAAGAAGTATATGCATGAACCATTCTTCATTTCGACATGAGAAAATTCGAGAAAGAACAAAGACGTACCTCACAACTATCCACCATCCAATCAACCCACCTAACAGTGCCAGAGCATCCTATTCCTGCCATACTCAAGATTATAACAACTCTACTTTACACAGCCCTAGTTAAGGCCTCTATGAAAAAGTACCGTAGTTGTCGTAGTTGGAGGTTGAGACTATTGCTGTCGAAAGATCCGGTCCTTTGCATGTCATCGCACAGCTTGATTGAGAAATGATCAGACTGTCGGAGATCGATAAGACAGTTTGTCACTGTTATTGCCTCCCTGTATGAAAAAGGAATAGGAAATGGACGAACAATTCCTTCTAGATATAAAATAAAGCAAATATTCCGTATTCCGCAAGGCTATCTGCAAAACTAGAGTTTAACTTCGGTCTGATAGTGGAATGGATTTCCCATCGACTGAATAGTTGATTTACTTTGGGAAAATGACACAACGATAAAAAAGCATAAGTATCCCCTCGTGAATCAATTACAATGTCTCTGGCGGCTTCGGCGTCGGCAGAGCCTTTAGTGACCCTTGACCTCATTAGCCATCTGGTATATGACTCCTAAAAGGAGAGATCACATCACTGTCATTGTTAAATCTTAAGTCTCCACTGTAGTTGATTGGTAATTGGAGATAATGGATGTTTAATGATGTGTTTTGCTTGTAAATTAATCCGATCTCGGAGATAGCTATGGAGTTATGATCTTCACAGATGTGAACGGATGATATATTTAAGCGACCTTTTGGAATGTTTGAATTTCAAATTTATATATCAACATAGTTGGCGGCCTTTTTCCGAAAAACATTCCCGGCGATTCTTTTTAACCGATTCGTTCTCCGTAATGTCAGTGTTTTCCTACTCCATGTAATTCAATTTCTCAATTAAATTCAAATTCAAAAACGAAAGTGTCTCCGGTAAGTCCTAAATTTTGAAGAAAACAATGAAAAACAGCTCTAAGGATTTGTCAATATTTATTAAAGCTTAATCTTTTCCTACAGGCTTTACTTCTTCTTGGCAATCGTTTATCTTGAATTAATTTACGAAAAATTCTGTAGCTTTTTCATTTAAATCAAATTCCAAATAGGAGTAAACAATCAAACAATATTACAACAATAGCAACCAAAAAATGAGAATCGAGATGACCGCACTAAAAGCGGTTATCCAGTAATTGTATGCTAGAACTGAGATACCAGCCATTGGACCACTATTTAGCCATGCATTAATATCACCCGTTACCAAAACAGCTTTCATGTAAAATTTAGAAACTTCTACGATACGCACCTCAACACACTTCCCCAAAAGACACTTTTTCGCAGGTATAAGAAAATGTTCGTAGCATTTATTATGGCCTACATAATGCTGTTGATCAGTTGCCAATTCACAAACAAGTACTCGATGCTTTTCACCGATTCGTCCTTTATCGTATCTTGAATAAGACCGGAAAAGCGTTGACATTTCTGCGGTTCGACGACGAGCCTAAAAGGAATAATTAGTTCATTGTAAATTTGTAATTGATTTAAAATACCGAAAAATTAATCGTAATTGAACCACCATGGATTGATTATACTAACAGCAATTTGGATGCAATCTGGCTCATAAACAGTATTCTTCATTTAAATAGTAGGTTTTGGAGATAAATTAAGATCTAAATTAAATGGAAGCTTTACCAATAAGAAAAGTGTTGAAATCTCAATAAAGCAGATGCAACATTTAATTTACAAAATGAAAGGATTTTAAAAACTGAATGCATTCCTTTCAAGATACCAAAGTCATCTGTAACCAATGTATACATTAAATAGGCTTTTATAAGATGTTCCTTTCATAAGATGTCAGTCCTTCATTGATTTAATCTTTTTTTTTTTAGCCATCAGTAACTCAGATTAGATGGCTGTATTCGATTATTCGAAGCAGTGTCTTTCTGCTTTATTTTATGCTTTTGGACTTGCTCACTGTTACTTATTTCATACTGCTAAGATAATCCCAATACTAGATTTCCATAGAAGAAAATTCAAGACATTTAGCAAATTTTGAAGATTCTCGAAAAATTATAAACCGTACTTCGATAGTGTCGATTTTCTTTAGATTTGCAGCTGGGGTTCCAATTCTTGGATAAAACTGATTAATGAACAGTGAAGGGAAACGGTATTTCCGTACCAATGCCATACTCTCTTCAAAATCGCTCTTTGTTTCGGTTGGGTATGCACAAATGAAATCTGTCGCTATATAGATATTGGGAACACTAAAAAAATGCTTTTTCCTACAGTGAAGTGGTAGATTTGAACCATCTTTTTAGCCCACTTGTAAATACAGCACTTTATTTAATACGCTCAAATTCTACTACCAAATGAATTCTATTTAATTTTAGATAACTTTTTTTAATTTTAGATAACTTTTTAAAATTTGTTTCCTATTGTAGCACATCCATAAAAAGAAACGTTTCCGCTAACGTTTTACTAAAAGACGCCTCCTTTTTCAGAATTAAAAAAAAATGAATTGAGTTTCTAAAATCCACTAACTTCTGCATCATGTAATCAACAACTTGGCAGAAATCAGCACAGGTGTATTCACGTTTCATATCCGATAATACAGCATCGCTTGCCGACTGAACAGGTATATGAAGAAAGGAATACACCTTTGGATGATTTAAAATTTCCGAAATTTCCTAAAATTAACAGCAGATTTAATATCATCGAAACAAATTTAGTAAAATATTTGAATTTCGAAAGTAAAATTCATTAGAATTTTTCATTCCCGTTATAAACAAGAGATCGGAAAAATTAACCTCCAAGAAATCGAGTATATAAGGAGGATTTGTCATTCCCAATCGTAACATACACCCCTCAGGGACGATTTTTACCAAGGCATTTAGTAGATCTGGCAAAACCTATAAAAGAACATATTTTTTAAAACGACACTGCAGTAATATTTGATAAAAAATGGAGAGGTTTTTAGTCTTCTTTTTTTGTCGTCCTATATCTTCTTTCTACCCTTTATTAGAAAAGAATTATGAAAGTAATAAATTTTGGAGAGTAATAAAAGTGGATAAGAGAAAAAAAGATAAATTCGCTTTTCATAACTCTATTCAAGTAATAATTAATCTTGAATCAGTGTTAAATAATCAATGTCAATATAAAGGAGAAAAACAAGGAAAAAAATATTCCTCAGTAATTCGCATTTTTAGCAAAGGTCATCATTACAAATTTGTCAAACTAAGGGGTCAGAAACATTATGAGAGTTAATGGCAGCGGTGTTGTTATACTATTTATTCTCCTCTTTGAATGCTTCAGTGAAGACACGATAAATTATGTACCATGAAATATTCTTCCGAGAAAAACTACAGGAAAGACAAACCATGTCAATATCACGACCCCAAGCGCCTAGATCCTCGGATGTCAGCCAAAGTTCTTTACAACCATCAGCAAATGCATTTCGTGCTCGTTCCAGTAAGTTATCAAGTGGAAAGCTAACCAGATTTCCACGAGCAGATTTTGTTTTGCAATAAGTGCAATGGTTTAAACAACCACTACTGATTGCAAGAATCTGTAAATATGATTCATTCCTACTCCGCAAAAACTACATTACTCGTAAATTTTGTCTAAAAAAAAGAAATAAAAGACAAACTTAGTTTGACTGAATTCTTTACTAAAATGTTATAATCCCTTAACACAACTGTCTTACACACCCATCTCACATTCTATAAAGATTATAGATGTCGAATATAGTTAAAACTTATTGCCAGGAGAAAGTTCAGAAGAACTTCCTCAAATTAATAAAACCAAAAAATCTGCTTAACTTTTAATTTATGACAAATATTTCTAAAGCAATTTGCTTACGTAAAGCTTTACTAACTTCTATGAATTTATTTCTTCGTATTTTTGGAAGTAATAGATTCGAATTTGGTTTTCTTCGCGACAAGAATCGAACACAATTTCCTTTCAATGTTTCTTCCACTGCTTGAGTTACATACTCGATCTGTTTAACTCCAACTATTGAGATTCCTTCCAAAAATCGCAAATTTGGTTCAGCCTTGAAAATACTAGATAATATAGGACATAAACAATAAACATCAAGAAAAGAGAGGGTACCAATCATGAAATTCTTTTTGAATACTCTGACATCTTGAATAAAATATCGGGAAATTTCAAAAAATAAGTTTTCTTGGTAATTCCAAAAATCCTCATTTCCATATTTCGGTGAAGAAAGAATTCAAAAGGAATCATGTTTTGGCGAAGAAAGAATTCGAAAATGAGATAACTTTTCTTGAAATATTACCTGAGATACACAGCCCGCTACAATGATAAACTTATTCAATTTTCGAGCTTCCTTAACTGTATTTTCAAGTTGTGTTTCAGATGGTGTCTTCACAGTGCAGCTATTTAGTATCCACAGAGAAGCATCTTCCTAAAAATATGATAGAATTACACACTAAACAGAATTCAAATTTTTCAATCATAAAATTAATTGACTAAAATAAAGATAAATGAACGGATGACTATAACAGACTTTTTTGTTGGTCAGCTGATGACCAGCTGCTGAGAGTAAACCAGCCATTTGTTCGGAGTCGCTTGTGTTATGTGTACAACCCCATGTTCTTATATAGATTTTTTGTGTCCCTGAAAAAATTTTTTGCCAAATGTGATATACAAAGATTTGGCGAAATAAAATTCCATCAGCTGCATTATGCAAATTTTCCGTGATCTTGAAGAAAAATTTTAATAAATGCAAGGGAATTATTTATCGACAAGGTTTCTGTTTGCTTAAAATGTTGCTCAAATTCAAAGCAAAAATTTGGCTTCATCTATTATTTTTATGACAGTATACACGTGAAATAGTGATGGCATGAATTAGTAACATAAGTTAAACAAAAATTGAAATGTTAATGCACATACCAGGAACAAAACTATCACCATAAAATATTTCTCCATCTCCTTTCAGACGTTTCCTGATAATCACATGATTTCGCTCAAAATTAGTGACCGTGGTAGCACGAATAACATCTTCTATATCTTCCATAATTGTACTGGCATAACCGTTAAGAAATCCTATGAACTTGCAGAATTTTATTTGAAGCGCACTTACATGGAAGGATATGCATATGTTCCGACGATACGAATGCCAAGATTTATGTAATCCTGAAGGTAACACGTAGAATATTCGAATGTCATTGCCGAACAATTCATTATTAAACACTCATTCTCCAGTTCTAAGGATTAGTAGAAGCAGCACCATGTCCTATCAACAGTTACCAGATCGTCCTTTATCCGTACATTATCTTGCTGATAACCAAGATACCATACCTACTACTGGAAGCACGCCACATAGCATTCATAGGATATCAATGAGAACTCTTCGTAACAGTACAGCAAAATTTTGCGCATTTATTAATTCAGGTTCAAAGATATATTATCTAAAAAATGAAATGTTTTAAAGCCTCCAAAATTTATATTTTAAACTTCTGAGGTATTTATTATTTTTAACTACCAACCACATAATAATAGAAAAGCAACAAACAACTGAACTAGACGTAATAGCTCGACTAGATTATCTACAAAAGGTGAAGAATGTGTTGAATGATAGGACAGCTCAAACACTACCGACAATCCTTTCGTTGCATCAAATGATCTTGAAGTTATAGGTAAGCAAGAACCATCTTTCCCAAAGCTACATAATTATTTAGTAATATTATGAAACATACAAATATCCTCAAATTTAATATGAAAAACCAAAAAAATCACCGCATTAAACATTATGCAATGTTTACGGAAATGGAAAGAATCGGATATTTTCAAATTCGATATGAAAATTGAAAAATATGACAGAGTGACAAAAATATGACAGAGAACCACTGAAACTTAAACAACGGGTGAATTTAATGTTTAAGAGACGCTGTCGATGTTTCCAAAACAATATAAAACTTATTACTAAAGCTAACAATGCATTGAATGAAAGAATAACAGATTGATAACGAACACCACTGATATACTACGACTACTATCAGCAATGAATACAATATCTTGGCAGTTGATAAATAGCACGGTATCGACATACAATGATATTATGAACATCTCACCAAAAATTGATAAACTTATTTGCATCGATAAGCAGACTAACTAATACATAGTTATTAGAACAAAACTTCAAAATTGATGGCCACAAAGAGCATTTATGATAGGATCTTACTTGAAGACTCTCTTTTAAAAATATTTAAATGTAACGTCACACATAAATACATTAACCACACGAAAAAGTTAAATGAAATTCAAAGCGCACACTATCTAATTACAACAAGAAGCTTCATTATATAGCAGTGCAACAAACCTTTCTTCATTCATGTAAAATATATAAATATGACAGTTAGCCATTTAATTTGAGGCATATTGAATAAATGAAATGGTTTGGAACATCGTGAATTTCGTTATATCTAACGAACAGCTCATAGTTGGTTGCATTCGACATGTAATCAAGTCGTCACCGGGAAAGAATACTGCATTGAATAAATAGTTTACATGAGGTCAGTTGCAAGACTGCACTAATAATTCTAAGAAATTAAAAAAAATTATGATCTAATATTTCTCATACTTCCAAGAGCAAATTTCTAGAATTTAGGAAACAGAACGTATAAAGGAAGTATCATAGTGCAAAATGAGCGTTTTCAGAAACGTCATTTCCCGTCGTGCATTATCAAAAATAACACGTGGGTCATCACTACCGCATCGTAACACATTGGGTGCCATTACCATCGCTAAATTACACACATCCATTTTTGTATATTTTACTGTTTCTTCTTCTGCTAGTAGCTGCAACACATATTTGTTCAAAAATCTGAGAGAGAAATGAAAAGTGAACTGCTATACCCAATCCCAATATTATAATTTAAAAAATTCCTAATAATCAAATAAAGATACCATGGAAATAAGTAAAAATATACCTGAAGAAGTTCTAGTAATTTTGCTAAAACTAGACGATTCACAGCAGGCAGAAGCTCAGCTATGCGACATGCTTCTTCGGGTTGATCACACACTGCTAAACAACGTAGATAAAAAGTATCTGGCAGTAATGGTTCTGGCAATGAACGTAACCATAATTTTAATAACGCTGCTGGAACATGAGCATCACGCACAACTGGGATAAGACCTCGATCAAGACGCAACCTTGCTGAAATTAAAAAAAAAAACAGAGATAGAACTTTTTCGATAACATGCCTTTCGTCGTTAAAGCTCATTTACAAATCATGAATAATCTTCAGCGATGAAAAATCTTAAACTATTTAGAACATAGAAGTTCTATGATTTTGAAACCCTAAGTTTTTCATTCCTCCTTGTATTCCTTGGAACACTTTTAGTGAAGTTTGTTATACTTCTAAGAAATGTAAAATATTGGATTAAAATGGATTAAAACAAGAAGCAACCAATTTACATTTCAAATTATTTGCTGTAAGTACAGCTTCATTTTACCTGTGTGAACATGATCCGGATCAGCTGGTACACGGAAAACACCTTCAGTGTGCTGTCCACCCGCTGATAATATCAAATCTATTAATGTTGTCTCGAGCCAAGGCAAAATTCTAAAACGGCAACGACAAATTCTGAGAATGACAAAGACGGTTATGATTAAAATGTATACGATGTACTTCATGTTAAAGTTATGGATGCGTCGAAATGCCTTATTAAAAAGTGAATGATAATTAATATAAGGTTATGACACTAAAAGGTTCTTATGAACACAATAACTGATCAATTGACAGAATAACTGATCAAAAGAGAGTAGTTTCAAAAAGACCTAAACCATCAAGAAGTACCTTTCCGGATATTTTTCGGCTTGCATTTCCATCAGTTCTTCCAGAGGAGTGCAAAATTGCGGTGGGTTGAAAATATGTACACGAGATTCTTGGATAAGACTAAGCGACGGTTTCGGCCGTGTAGCTGATAAACGTATAAGACGTCTGCTGCACTGAATAGCATAATGAGAGACAGGCACCTGTATCAAATAAAAACATGATTTGCATTTCTCTTTAAAATTTTCTCCAAAAAAAAAGTAAAAACAAAGTAGCATCAGATGATATCCTGTACAAGACAAAAATCTCCGTTTCCTATCCACCGATTTCCTCACTTTTCTTTTCATCATTTCTACGACTTAAAAATATCCGTCTATCCCTATAGCTGTCGATTTTTGAATATTGGAAATCCATATTATTTAGTTCAAGATACAATATATACCTCGGGCATGTCCAACAATCGATCAGAGTTTGCTTCAATAAATTCAGTCAATTTCTGAGTTATTTCTCGATTTGATGGTGAGAAAAAAGTCAAAAATATAGCGAGTAATTCCCATCCTCTTCGTATTGAATCAAATCTTTCGTTGCCTGTTAATTGCTTCATAATTTGACAAAAAAGTTCATCGGCTAAACTTTCCTTTGAAATGCCCCATTCACACAGTGTTAAAGCCAGCTAAAACATTTAATAGTGTTAAACACCTCATTGAAAAAAAGGATTTCCAATCGTTGAAAAATACTAGTTCAAGAACAAATTCCAGGAAATGAACAATAAAACTGGGATGGCTAGCATCATGTAAATAAACAAGCAATTAAAAAAATAACAGTGTAGCATAAGTTCAGTTTTTCAAATCCTAAATATAATGTTAAAGAATCTATCAAAGAAAAATTGCTGCTATAAGCTAGCAACTATCAAGAAAAATTGCTGCTGTAAGTTACAACTAGCTAGTAACCTAAATGATTATAAAAAATAGAAACATTAAGCTCTTATCCTTGTTTTATTTCTAAGATCTTAACTTTCTCAGAATGAGTTCTTCGCAATAACTAAATTTTGCAAAATTTGTGAACATTTAACCTGATCGTTAGATGTTTTACTTTTCCGATCACCCATATAACACTGGACAATTTTGAACATATTTGGTGCTTCTTTTTTCACATGTTTATCATCCATATTGCCGGATACGGGCTGTTTGATGGACTCTTTAGTCCAGCAATCTGATGTTCCAAGAGTAGTGTCATTAACTTCACGGACTTTTGGACTTGATGTTGAATTGTGAAATTTTTTTAGCGTTGTACCATCATCAAGTGGAAAACGACTGCTGCTGATTGTAAGAGAAGAACTGGAACTGCCAGCTGAAGACTGAATAATTGACGGCATAGCATTATTTGACGTAGACGACGGTGTACGAGTAGACATTACTGCAAAAAAAAAGACTGCTGCTTATTGTGAGTAATAAAGTGGAACTATCAGCTAAAAACTGAATAATTGACGGTTGGCATTGTTTGATGTAGACAATGGTATATAAGTAGGCATAACTATAAAAAGAAAATTGAAAATTTTAAAATTTAAAAGAAAAAACACGATCGCATGGTTATTCAACAATGAAAAATTTTGGATCATTAGTTATCGGTTTCATGAATACCACATTACAAACATCTCTTGAACACAGAAAGTTCCCAGGACTATTTGAAATAAATGTCATGTGTTAAATAAGTAACCAAATATTCATTCCAGATATTTCTAAAGCTTACAGTGTCAAATCTTCTTTAATAGTATTTGAAATTTACCAATCTGTGGGCGTTGATACTGCAGTGGTGTTGAATGACCCTCAAGTGAGTCATCGCGAGGAATATACGAAGCAACGGACACAGCAGGAACATTTCGCGGCAGGCATTCTCGATTTGAGTATATGCGCATGTCCTGCAACTGAGACTAATGCTGAGAAAAGTATCATCCTGCTATCCATATAAAGAAAGGTGTCCTACCATCTTTGGACCATCCATCCTCAAACAATACTGCTGACATAACGTCTGTAGTAAAAGCAGACGTTTTAAGATACAGAAAAAACAACAATTATTCGAAAAGCGTCAAATTTATGCAGAAAAAGAAATAGAATACATTGAGCACTTTGAAAATAAAAAGAGCAATTTCAAAAATCTACGACAACTTCGATTCTTTTCATCTACCTATCTCTATTTTATTTGGTTTAAATAGAATAAGAACAACACTTTCACTCTTCCCCTTCCTATATTTCAACAATTAAAAAACAGCAAATGGTAAAGAAGAAAAAGAAGAAAATGACATAAAGAAAATCATTCAGGAATTCAATGCTTTGCCATCATTTCATTACGATGATATCATTGTAGAACAGCAGCAGCTAGTTTGCACTATGCCAATAAATACTTGTCCCGCAATGGAATGGAATATGTGATTCAAACAAAAAATCAGGATGACTCATTCAACAAAAACCAACATTTTACAGTAAAATATACAGTATTCAAAAATATTTCAATAGTATTTCAAAAACGTTACCGCATAACTTCGCTAGTATCCCTATATTGAATTTTCTGGAGTCCTAATAATGGACTTACTATTCAGAAGTAAGCCATACATTTTTCAGAAGTTTTTTTGTAGGCATTCTTTACCGATAGTTCCATCCTCAACGACAAAAAATTCCAAAAATTTAAGGACGAAGCCTTAATTGATATAGTTTTATGGACTGTGTTGGTAAAAAACCGAGAAAAGTACCGAAAGTGAAACCATAAGAAAAATTCTACACTTCAAGCTACCAAATTCTATGTCTTCTAACGTCATTTTCTGAATAAATGATTGAATGTATAATCCTTAAGAAAGTATAACTACCATTCTGATTAGTAACACAAGGATATCCAGGTACTGCTATCCCGCAAAAGCTATTCTGCTCTATGAAATACTTTTTTAAAAAGCAATTATGTTTAACCCAATAATCAAATAATTACCTGGACAGTATTGACTAGCGGTGCAATGTAGCTAGGTGAAACTTGCATGGGAGAGGATGATGTATTATATGTCTTCCTCGACATGGATGTATGAGGTGAATTGAGCTTCCTTGCTGTTACAATTCCTGATTCAGGGGATATATTCTGAAGCAGAAGTTGCATTCAGAAAATGATTAAAATAATGATTAGACCCAAATTAAAAATTGCATATAAAGAAGTGTGATGGATCAAAACAACATTCTTTAATGTGCAGCAAATCTTTCGTAATCAACTGGACTCCAGTTTAAATGAAGATAGAATTTTCTAATATCCAAAGAGCGCTAACCTGGGCAAAGATCATATGGGATAAACTACGGCTGCTACCAGACCTCCTTTCTTCTTTCGGTGATGTCTGCGTTTCATTATTTCGTTTAGTTGTCACCGTTTTTTCAAGCACTGGGCATCCATCGTCACGCTCAGAATTGGAATGAAATTCGGTATTTTCTTTGAGAGTCTACAAAAAAAACTGCGAAATAATAAACGGAAATAATAATAAATGAGTGTATATCCTACCTCATCAGTGCTGAAAAATACTGAATTGGGAATTAGTTTACTATAAGCTAAGAAGTGTTTAATTATAACGTTATAATGATTACAAAATTCAAACCGGTAAAAATTTAGAAAGATACAATAGTATTACAAAGACACCCACAAAAATCCTGCATTTCTAAAAATTCTACAGATCTATTACTCAAAAGGCCTCAAACTGTCAAATCGTCAATACATGTATACATAGTTTTCTGATTTTAATATTTCCGCTGGCATTTGCCCCTGTTTCTTCTCTAAATTGTATCATATATCATCACACTTCAAAATGTAGCATTACTATTTATTAGTTCTCTCGATCCTGTAGGAAACGCTTTACCTGAAGTTTCGCAAGTGGTATAATATCACAATTTGTTGGTTTCTGCCATACCGTTTGCATCGTAGTAGCATTGTAATAGTAAAACCGTTGAGAACTGGTATCAAATAATTCCCACCATTGATTGCTGGCAGTCTTCTTCCTGAAGAAACCATAAGATTTTATTCATAACTTCCAAATGGTCAATGGAAATCATTCTAACCTTCTTAATAAACAAACAGTTGGTCTGATCTATATCGTATTTACTCTCTTAAAATAGTATTCATATTGAGTAGCTTTTAAAGATTACCAGAGGTAATCTCTTTCTATTCATTAGTACATTTGCCATGTAAATTTATTTTCTTTATAAGTGGAATATATTTAATTTAAATATTTTTTGTAGCTTAAATAAGAAAAACTGAATATTTAACTTGAAATATGAATGATTTTTAATATTTGAAAATGGAAAAAGGAAAACTTACACCGGTACACCAGCTGGTGGCTCCCATGCACATTGACCCGTTCGAAGATTTGCATACATATATTGCCGAGTCTGCGGTTCCACAATTTCCACCCATTCCACTCTGCAAAAGACGGGATTTGTAGCATGAAATATTAGAGCTATCTATTAAAAATACTAATTTTTTATTTGCAATTACTTGGTTAAGCTAAGCCTACCCACAGATTCTTAATAAGTAACACCATAATCAAATTTTAAGATTAACAGAAAAGGATGAAAAAATGGAAAATTACAGCGAGGCACTTGCGAATGAAGATCTTAATAAATTCGTTATGTATAAAAAAACGACAAAAAAGAAAGGACTTTTGCAAAAAGTCGAACCCACAGTGAAAAAAACTTATGAAGATGATTAGTAGATAGAAAAATGGTGACAGATAAATGATAAATACTATGAGATAATAACAATACTTAATTCCCGAAGAGCAATGCAATTCGCTTCCACTTCGTTCCTCGTTCATATTTTCAACATTTATTATTTTGAGCTGATGAAAGCATTCTCCGAGCTATTACCATTGTACTGAAAATCCTTTTTATATATTATAAATCTGCGCAAAATACGAAAAACGTGAACTGCGAAAAAGTTCAAGTCATAGCGCGGGATTTCCCTTTCCTACAATAACAACTACAATGATGTTTGTTGAAAAAATGCGAAAAAAAAAACTACAAACCTCACTTTCCAAAACAGATATCGCGGAAAAGCGAGAATTATGCATTAACATGCACACGGACGTAATCTTAACAACTTGCGGCCGACGTGAAATCCTAACATTTGAAAGCTTCTTAGTTACCTAGTAGGAATAATTAAATAGAAACACAGTAGCGGAAGGAAGGGCGAATGAGGTCAGCTGATAAAGTTCCTGTCTAATTCACATCATAAATTAATATGAAATTCATTTAATTCAATTCTCTATGGACGTCTCAATCTGAAATGCTAAAAGCACTTGTAAGTATCACTTGTAAATATAATAACTTTACAAGTGATACTGATAAAGTTATTATATACCTAAGCTTTTAGGTATATAACTTTTATATATAATAACTTTACAACTGGTATATAATAATTTTACAACTGATGTTTTAATAATTCGAACTCGTCCTAGTTTAATTTGATTCAATTTAATTTCATTTCACTTAGCTTGATTTCACTCAGTTTTATAGACGATTTTATCTGATCTGATAATTTTAATCATGTAAGACAGACATTGCTTTTAAGACAGACTAATGAGTCAAAAATTAAAAATTAGTAGTTCACTCCATTGAAAATATGAATAAGAAATCACTAAAAGAATGATGATTTGAACGAGTTGATAAGGAGAAGAATATTTTCTCCGTTGAACACATAATCCTTTTGTTATTGTTAAATTAATAGAAATTTCATAAATAATTGAAATCACTGTTCCAATTCAAGTGATCCACTTCCAATTATATTTATAAATTGAAGGCCATTTTGCAATCACGGATTCTCTAACAATCTAAATAAATTCAACAAAAAAAAAAATAAGTGAAACTATATTAGAATTAGAATACGTGGAATACGTGAAATACGTGGAACTACAAGAAGATATAGAATACTATTTAATGAAAGTAATACTTTTAACAAATAGATTTCATTGTATTACTTTTATGACAAGTGATAGATATTTTCAACATTTCAATAAATTAAAAGAAAACTTCGAAAATTTTCCTAAAATTTAAAAACTTTGAAAACTTAGAAAGTTTTCCTAAAACTTAAAAAGTTTTGTTTTAATTTATTGAAAGCTTAAACCTAAATTATTACTTCCTAATTTAGTAGTTGTCATTTTACAATTTTTCAAGTGTGTCACATATTTGGATATAAGAATAATAGTTATTGACATCACTCAAAGATATATAGACAACATAAACATTTTACATTAATTTAAAATGTAGTGAAAAGATTTAAATTGCATTATGAAATTCAATTTCCTTATATATCTTTTTTTCCTATCCATGATTAATATTTAAAAAATTTCTATTATATAGATGGATAAATGAGAGACAATGAGGAAATAGAAAATATTGATAGATTTCTTTTTATAAGAATAATAATAAGAAAGATAGATGTTAGATAATTAGTAATAATTACTATAATAATTATGGTAGATGTAATTTTTACTATATAGATGGATTAATGAGAGACAATAAGGAAATAGAAAATAGTGGTAGATTTCGCTTAATAATAATAATAAAGATAGATGTTAGATAATTAGTAATAATTATGTAAGATAGATGTAATTTTTACTATATAGATGGATAAATGAAAGACAATGAGGAATCTTATTATAATAATAATAAAGATAGATAGTGGTATGGTAAGATGGATATAATTTCTACTATATAGATGGATAAATGAGAGACAAAGAGGAGATAGAAAATAGTGGTAGATATCTTTTTATAAGAATAATAAAGATAGATAGTGGTAGATTTCTTTTCATAATAATAATAATAATAAAGATACTGTATTATCACAATTATTATTAATTATCTAACATCTATCTTATCATAATTATTATTAATTATCTAAAATAATAATTTTGATAAGATAGATGTTAGATAATTAGCAATAATTATGATAATACAGTATTTAAAATAATAATAATAGTATTAATAATTAACAGTGTAGAAAGTAGCAATAAATATTACATCTATCAGATTAAATTAATTCAGCAATCTTTTTTTAACAGTAAATCAATCCACGAATGAATGAGAGAGAGAGAGAGAGAGAGAGAGAGAGAGAGAGAGGGAGGGAGAGAGCATTTATTTGGAAAAAGAATAATAAATGAAAATGTTGAATAGGGAAAAATTCAACAACGATCGGAACAAAAAAGCTTCCATTCATCCATCTATTCCATTCACGTTATATTTTCTTCCTCTACTATTCAATAAAGCTTTAACTATTCAGCTATAGCTATATCAGATTTTTAGAATTATCATAGCATACTCTGCTTTTATCTCTGTAATGTCTATTCCTCTATGCATTTTTCATACATTTAAGGATGCTATATATAATTTAGGCAGATTTTCTCTTCATAGAATCATGGATACACTGTAATAATCAATAGATGAAAAAGGGAATGCTTTCTTTCATATTATTACTCATTCATTGAAATATTGATTTCAAATATTCTTTCATCATACAATCATTCATCGTTATAATTCATAAATAATCCTGCAATTAAAAATATTGATTAGTTTTATGCAACAAATTTAATGCTAATATTAAATTAGTTATTGCAAATATTATTGATGAGAACGAGGGAGAGAAATATTTAATGCATCAATAATAACATTATAAAATGGATATGTGTTATAAGTTTAAAATTATTCAAATTATTAATTAATTACAAAACTTTAATAATTTATTATTAATTATTAAAGTTTTATAATTAGTTAATCATAATGATCAGAAATGTTCGTCTTTTTGTTAAATTTATAATACTTACTAATGATTTAATTAAGCAATAAGAAATGATTTTATTTTTAAATAGTTTCTTCGAATAATTCTTATTTGCTAACTCGAAAAATTTCTATTTTCTCTATTTATACAATAGATAAAAAGTAAATTTATAATATGCTATTCCAATCTCAGTTTTTCTATCTCATAGCTAATCTCTATCTTCATATCAATTCTAATATTTCCAAGACATAGAAGTAATCGATGAAGTAAGTTTACGTTATCTAAGGATAGTATGATATTTAGATTCTTTACAGCAACGATGAATTTAATAAAATTTAATAAACAATAAACATTTAATAAACATGTTTATCGTTGCTGTAAAGAATCGTAATACCATACTATCAGCTTAGATAACATATATATCGTAATTAAATATTTACTTTATTTGTTATTGCATGAGTGAACCAAAATATATCTTATAACCGATATAGCGCTACAACATTCAAAATTGCACCAGTTTGGATTGTCGGATTGGTCTTTCTAAAGGTCACCACTATTGCATAAAAATAGCAAGGGTTGAGAAGAAGGAGTATCTGTCGGAGGTGTATGGTTGAGTGGTGTATTTAGCTTCTTTTTTTTGCTTCAATATTTACTCATACTTTCTTAATAAAAACGTAATGTCGGCAGTTCCTGAAGTTGAGGTAGAAACACGTAAGACTGACTGTACCGACACCATTACTAGTACTGATTCTACTACTACTACCACTACTACTACTACTACTGCTACTACTACTACTACTACTACTACTACCATTGCTACTACTGTTATTACTACCCCTGCTGTTACTACTACAACTATTTCTGATATGAAGGAACAAAAGAAATATACTGCTGAGAATTCCGTTCTACCATGCATAAAAACGGAAGATCCAGAAAATGGACAATTTCATTCAGATTTTGTTATGAATTCTGCAACAGTCCCTATCGCCGAGAGATTGTCATCGGCAGCAACTGAAGAGAAAAAAGATCTGGTGCAATCTTCTAACAGTGATATAGTTACAGAGGATAATGTTATTGCAGATAATGAAAATATTGATAGGCCTGAAGTTGATGCTGTGTTAACTTTTGAAACTGAAAATACCGCTGTTGGTGTTGCAGCTAATGTACAGAATTCTGCCAACAGTTCTAATCAAAATAAAGCGGATTGTAATATTTCTAGTTCAGCTGTGCATAATCTTAAAATTGCCTCTGATCAAAGTTTAAAACCTGAAGTCATAACGCCTATTGATTCGGCTCTTTCTGAAAGCCAAATTAATGCCACTGCTGCTATTGCAGAACAATCCGATGCTGCTTTTATATTATCCAGTGGAGAAAAAGAAGAAAATGATCTCAAGGATGAAAGAATCAGGGGGACAGATGAAGGTACGGAGACGGAAATCAATGATTCTGAGGGAGATTATAAAAGAAAAGAGAGATCCACTTCTCTGGATGACAAGGAAGCAAGTAGTGATGAAGCGGATCATTTTGTCGATGCAAAATCATCCGATCAAATCGATAGTGCTTTGGGAGATGATGCTGTTGAAATTGGTAAAGAAACAAAGGAACAAACGGAAGAAATCCAGGATGAAGAAGGATATGAGTCCGATGAAGAGGTTAGTTTACAAAGCTTTATTTCAACATCTTCTAATGCCTTATCTTAAAAGGAGAGTACCGTGCACTACTAAATAACTTCGGTTTATTAAGAACTATCCTTGTAACAGGTATTATTTCTTTGGATTTACGGCGCCTTAAAATAGTAACAGTTGAAGCAACTCTTTAGCTAACATGTAGGCTATCTATGAAACTTCTACACACCTAAAAATATTCGGTAAATCATTCAGGAACAAGAAGCGGAACCAGATGATGACGAAGTTGAGGGAAATCCGGCATTCATTCCGAAATCTGGACGCTACTATATGCATGATTCAAGAATTACTGATGAAGAGCGTACGTCAGAACCGTCATCGCATTCTCGGGCAGATGGAAAGTGGAAGCATGACCGTTTCGATGAGCGTTCACAAAGACCAAAAACTAAGCGAGAATTAATGAATAGATATGGTTATGACATACGTAATGAGGTAAACTTCGATATGCTTAGTGGTACAACTAGACTCAGAAATAACTTTGAGAATTTGTTCTCTTTTCGAATAACACTTCCGCAAAGAGTCAAATATTTAATTTGTAAACTTTTTTGTGACTTCATTACTATTATATTTAAGAATAAAGAAATAAATTCTGTATAATCAGGGTAAAAATACTGGTGGTGGCAATACTTCGAATGCTTCGACACCACATTTCAATCAAACTCGAGGTACATCTAGGGGTGGGAGCAATAGTGGTAACAATTATGGGAATCGAGGTAGACATTCAAATCGAGCATTATCACATTATCCACAACATCAACCGGATGACAGGTAAGTAAATCCAAATGAGGTATTGCGACATCTTAAAATTTAAATTAAGCTAGTAAGAATCGCAAATTTATGTATCATTCTTTGATATACTGATGGTCTTTAAACCCAGCCCAGAATTTCAGAAACTTCTGAAATTAAATTTCTGCAAATTCTTTATGCTAGCCAATTCATTGACAGCTATCTTTGAACTTTTTCCAAACATTCGATGCTATGTAGATTTATTTCTAACATATATTGCTGATTACAGACGTGATCGTAGGAGACCAATGCAGAATAATGGCGCAGCAAGGCCGACAAATCGAGGTGATCGAAAAAGTGAGCATCACATCAGTATCAACCATCAACGAGATCAACATGGAACCGGAGGTTTCAAGAATTCACCCATGAATACTCAGAAAGGTAGCATTTTTTCAGGTTCTGAAGGTATAATCCGCAAATAGTGTGAGATGAGATCTACACTCACCTTAAATCTTTGCACACCTTGCTAATTTAGTTAGCCACTACATTCCATCGCTTCCTGACTTCATACTGTGTAGAAAAGACCCTTTTCGTTCCAGAGTCCAATTATTAAAAAAAAAGCTTTAAATTCGTTACTGTGCGAAAAAAAACTCGACGCATACTACCTGTGAAGTGGAAGATAAAGTTTTCGCACTAAGAAAAAATTCGATGCATAAAGTTGCTCCCGGTAATTCAGAAAAATTATTTCTTAATCACCTGAGTCTTTCTTCACTGTCCTCATCCACATTAAATTTCCTCACTCGCTAAATGTCTCCAGTTGCTATAAGAATACTGACTTGTTAAAATAATCATAATTTATACCAGCACAGAGAAGTACACGTCCCGTTCGAAACATGAGAAAAATTTTTTTAACACAACAGTTAAATGAACGTAATTAGAACACGCAGAAAACAAAACAACTTTAACAAAACTAAACTCTAGAGAAAAAATAATTTCACCGAATACAGGAAAATATGACATATGTTCAGAAATACATACATGTCTCGCCGAAACAGACTAATATATTATGATACCTGGTAGCGAAAAAGAAAATTCCAAGCTTCTTGAGCACTTAAAAACTTAGGTTGAGTTGCCGTTCAGCCCACGTGCATTCACTGTCAAATGTCTTATGAAAAATTATTGACAGTTGAATGAGACGTTGCCGAAGCTGAAAGAACGCGTAACTTGGCTGGACGGCAAAATAACCAGGAAGAATAATCACTATGTAAAGTAACAATTGAAAAAAGCATCAGTTTATTGTATTTACAAAAGTTGCGGAGCTTATTTAAAAATGGAGAGTAACGTTTCAAAACTTTGAATCTTAATGCAATATTAAGGAGAATAGACAAAACAAACTTATAGCTGTACACAATGCACAATACTTCACTTAAAACGATATGCTTTTAAAAAGAAAATGTTCACAAAATTAAGACTCCATTAAGAGGAAAAAGACAATTCAGTTGCAGGTGCTATAAATCATCGAACGTATCATCGAAGTGAGGAATATTTGCGTGACAACCGACAGCACAGTGGAGGAAATAGAGGACGAGGAGGCGGTACTGCAGTTAGTGGCGGTGATGCGTCAACGACACATGGTAAAGGTGGTGGTGCACATACTGGTGGGAAACGTTATTCAACGCAACGTTTAACTACAAATTATACGTCAAACGTGCAACAACCAACACCACCGCAGCCACCACCACCACTTCAACCAACACCTACAACAGGCCCCATATCGATTCCGCCACCTGACTGGCGTCCATCAGCTTACCAGGGTCCACCACCACCGTCTACTGTGCCACCACCACCGCCTATTGCAATACCGGCACCAGTACCAAATTTCCGCCCCAGTGATATCGTCTATTTTGACCCAAAACCCCAGCAATTGTTTCGCACCAATCCAATCCCACCACGAACCAAAAAGCGACTTGAGATCGTACCACCATATCAGGCTAAGAATTCGAACTAAATTTTACATTTGTCCCTAATAAAGTCTTTTCTGAAACTTTGCAGGTAGAAATAATAGAAATAAGTTGCAGTTCCGAAAATTTCATTGAAAATTGGAACCAAAATTTTGTTCGAAATATTTTTTGCCTCAAACCATTTTGTTGCCTACGTTATTATTGTACATAATATACTTATTACTAACGATAATACTGTTTTATAACGATTACTATCGAATAAATGAATCCAGAGAGAATAAAAAATTTTAACTTCCTAAAAATTGATTCTTTTAAATATTACTGTGGGAAGGGCTTGCCAGTGGTGTCAGTAAATCTGGAGTGCTTGGAACTTCGTCCACTGCTAACATTGGATCACGACCTTCTAGCATAAGAGGTTGCCGTTCAAATTCAATTGATTCACCATCTTCCACATCATCAGTCATCATAGTATCCCAACAGTTTCCAAGCAGATCACGACAGTTGTCAATTGTCTGCTCCTGTCCGCTTAGATACTCTGCTAACTCTTCTGATATTTGTCTGTCCAAAGATGGAGATAATGAGATCGGGTTGAGTGATATGGGGGAATTAGTTGAAACTTGAGATGTATTAGCGGGAGCAGGTTGCAAATGTGTAGCAGTTAACACGGGGACAACTGCTGCCCGCGCAGTTGGCCCTACCACAGCAGCATTTTCCGGTTCATCAGTGACATCCGCAATAATTGGCCCCTGATTAGAATGCGAGTTAAATACATTCGAATTTTGCTTCGTTTGACCGTTTGTATTATCAGAGATTTCACGATGCAGTCGGTCAATAATTTCAGCAAGATTACTTGCCTGCCCAATTTGTGTAGAAGTACTAGCCATTCGGGCACGTTTGACACCAATCTGTAATTACCTAGATAGAATTCCATGAACTTAATTCACTGTTTCAAAGCCCTTCAATAAACTTCCAAAACTGAGCTTAAATCCTAAAGTTGAAAGCTGTCCAACACTAGACTGCTGCATTAAAAAGACATAATTCAGTTGTTTTTTTTGCAGATATACAAAATAGTGAACAAGGTCAGCTATGCGTGTGCTTATCTCAAACAATTACCAATACAATCGAAAAAGAACATCCCTAGTTACTATTACAATTACCACTCAATAAAAAGCTACATATTTAATAAAACAAGATCAAAAATACTTCATCGATTGCTAGTAAGTTTCGTTTCCCAAGGCGCTTTTGTGAGGGTTGTACAAGCGCTACCAGAAATTGGACCAATTTATTGACAACATGCTGTTGCTTGACATGTTGATTTCGAAGATGTGATACCTGCTGCCACATTGCTTCATTCTCTCTGGAAACATTTTTTCAAGAAGTAATCAACCGTCTTTATTTTTATTTAATGATTGTTCTAATAAGCTAATACAATGCAAGGAGAAAAAAGCTCTCTCACATAATCCTAGTAGTCCTAATAATAGTCCTAGTCTAAAGTTCTAGTCTCTCATATAATCCTAATATATCTATCTTTGCCACAACCGACCAAAAGATATTACCTTAACTTAATATACTCTTCAATTTTTTTTAATAGACTCTTTAATTTCTTCAAACTGAATCCAAAAATTGTAAAGAATTCGGAGAGTGAATTTTTTTTTTTAATATTTTCTACGTTTACTTATTTGAACTCATCCCGAAAGTAACATCGGTATTTTCAGGAGTAAACAAAGCTAGAACATCAGTAAAAATATTGATTAGATATGCATCATATCTGTGAACGACAACCACGAATAAAAAAATTATACCATGTGCCAAATCTATGATTTGTTAAGAATCCGAAGTCAAAAAATCACAAGTATTGTCCTATCAGTCAGACTTTCCTAAGTCTAGTATTCCCTGTGAGTGTTGTATTTGATTTGAGAATAACAATAAGTCCACATCATCTACGCTTAAGAACATACTTCACAAGATGTGCCATTTTATTTTCCATCGTTCGTTGCTTTTCACGCAGCTGTCGTATTTCATCCACAAGGACACTTATTTCTTTTGGGGGCATAGCCACTGAGTTATTCTCGTTGTTACGATTACCCGGAGTTTTACGCTTGATGTTAACCAACAATTCGGGATGCTGTTGGATAAAATATGGATGCGAAAATTCTAAATGATCCTGATCACTTTCAGATCGTGCCAAACTTGATTTCTCGATAGGTGTCATTTTCCGGAAACCATCTAAAATATTAAAATATATGATTTTTCATCATAGTAAAATGAACATCAATAAGGGTTCGGATAAATTAATATTGAAAAACGACATAAACTACAAAATATAATGCTAAAACACGACAACGTATACGTCTCAAGCAATATCGAAATCACACACTGATTAACTAAAAAATGGATTAAAAAAGCACTTTTAAGACATCATACAACTTTATCCGTATTTCCGAGGAATGCTACACTAGAATGAATGTCCCACATAATCCCCAGATTGCATTACAACTTCGACATAAATTTTTCGTTATTCGACGACCATTATAATGCGATTGTATTGATGCATAACCATTACATTGTCGACATATTTGCTTAGAGACTTTCCCCATATATGTTGCTACCACAAATCAAGCTATTTCGTTTTTGAAGATGGTCAATTACTTCAGTGATAACTCTTGAATTATTCCAATTGAAAATTATGGAAAATAAAGGAACAATATTTGAAACATCACAATGAATACTTACACATGTTGAGTTGGCGTATGAGACTGTTTAAGTTATTGTGTTTGAAAAATTGCGGCAAAACTATGCGGCAAAACAGATGTGGATCCAGAACATGGAAACTGTATCCGCTCTAAAAAACAACGTTTATCCCAAAATTTGACTAATTTTTTAGCTATCTTTGAGTTGCTTATTTAATCTTTGCCTATAAAGATCTCCAATCTGATTTAGCAAAAATCGTATTGCTTATCAGAAGTTCTAACTTATTTATAAAAAATTCTGGGCTCGTCATAAACTCCAATTATTGTCTACTAAACTAAATCAAGAAGAACCTGAAAATAAAAATCGGCTTCGCATTCAGTTATTTGGACAAAGGACTGCACTGACAGAATACTAAATTCAATTTAGCTCAGAACAATTCCGATATATGCTCATTTCACCATAATTTCAACAATAAAAGTAAAGCAAGCATAAAAATCCAACCTTATCCCAGCATATTATATTTTGAAATTCCGGATCTTCAAGGATATTCCACATTTTCACGAGAAACATCGGAACCTTTTCTTCATCTCGATATTGCTGCAATACATGCATAGTAAGGTTTGTGGACGGTGGACACTCTTGTCTAGGTAATTCAGTACAGTCCTGTTGAAGGACCTCTGTCAGTAATTTAGGTGGACGAACGAGGACGGTTCCAGTTGAGGATGATGGCAATGAAGCTGGCGTTGACTCTGTCGATAAATCTCTCATAAGAATCGTACCAAATTGCATGTCATCATGTCCGACTTCCTTCCTGCTCATTCTTTTCTTCTTTCTAAAATTAATTTTACGAGTTACCGTATAGAGCAATAAATTAGAAAATCTTCAGAAGATATCTTTGACAAGAATTTTATAGTTTTACTTTTCCCACAAATAATTCCACATCAATCACAGCGCCTAATCCCTCAAGCAACCTACATGTGAGGAAAACTTCTGTATAAAGGAACTTGGCAAGAAGATGTATGTCCCAGTAATTTATCTTGATCACTCATATCTTGATCCTCCCACGTCTGTCATAAGAGTATCTACACCTAAATCAATAGATCACGCACCCATTCATTCGTGAAAAATTATTTCCCAATGAAAAAAAGTCTCAGTTGGATAAGTTATTTAAAACAGATGTAGTAGATGTATAGACATATACAGGTCATATATGATAAGCAGTGTATAGACAAAAAAAAAGATATATGTATAAAGTGCTACGTAACAATAAATTAATCATTGCATCCAGAACTTAATGAATTGATGTAAAAGAAACAAAGGACAGAATCAGTTACTCGCATAGTAAGGTAAAATGTCCGATTTATTCCTAATTTTTCAATACTGCAAAATTACAACTGGCTGTCAAGAATAAATCACCTACCTAGTACGAAATCGTTCACTAACAAGGACATAAACACACCTGACAGACTATTAGACAGCCGAGAAATAGTATGGTCATCATTTCGTAAAACAAATATCGTCACCTTGTGCTGCTTTGACGGGTTTATTTGCAATTGTTTGTCCCATTTGCAATTGTTTGTCCCTTTTGACGCTACGACTTGTGTGATCATTTTTACTTTTCGTCTTATCATACGATGTGCATTACGACGAGTTTGTGAAAAACCGATGTGGTAGTTGGTAGAGAACGTCCAGTGGTATCATTTTAACATCAGAAATTTAAGTCATTAAAAAGAAAAAGTAATGTGAATATTATAAACTGCTCAAAAATTTCACTTGATAGAATCATAAGATGCTGTGTGTATTGATTTCTCTGTCTTTTCACTGGTTCTTCTCACTTCTCATAATTGGATGACCTTGAAATTTCAACGAATCAAATGGATTGGATGTTATCCTTTCGTGCTGTAATATGTTTCCAACCAAAGTACATATTGACATTTTTTTGTTATCATTTATTATCAGTGAATGTGAATTCACCGTTTGCTCGCCTTTAACAGATAAGATTGGAATATTTATATTGCGATATTTTTTTTATCAGACATATGCATCATTATATTTATAAACAAGAATGAAGATAAAAAATAAATTATTACCATCTGCCAAGTCTAGGATTTGTTAAGAATCCAAAGTCAAAAAAAGTCACAACAATTATCTTATCAGAGATACTCTCACGTATCTTGGTACTCCTAAGAATAACGATAAGATCATCTATGTTTAGAAGTATACTTCACAAGATGTGTCATATTGTTTTCTATTGTTCGTTGCTTTCTACGCAGCTGTCATAACTCATCCACAAGGAGACATATTCCTTTTAGGAGTAATTCTCGTTAATTTTAAGGTCAAAAAAATCATTCTGACCCTGAAATTATCTTCACTAATAATTTCTTATTTGAAATATTTCAACAAAATAAATCAAATTTGTTACTAATATCATTTTAAGATATAATTATCGTGCAGTATTCAATAGGGAAAACTTTTTATTCCCTAAATGAAATCTGATAATATCTTTCAATTTAATTTAAACTTATGCTCACATTAATGGAGTAAATCAACTTAAATGAATGATACATTATGTATTTCACAATGCACATTGAGGAACATTGAAATTCCCACATTGATTTAACTGCAATATCGGCCAAAAAGTAGATCGGATATGATCGGATACATTAATAATTTTTTGAATGATTCTATGAAGATTAATTTTTCTTCAGAGGTTTACTTGTTTTTAATTCTTTTAATTGTTGTTTTTTTTGTCTTTTTGTCTTAGGTTTTATTTATATTTTTCACTTATTAATGCAATTAAGTAATTATAAAATTGTTATAGTTAATTAATTGTATTTTTTTCGATTCGTTTTTCTTTAATTCTGAGAATTTTATGTTTTTTTGAGTTGACTATAATTCTTGTTTTGTATTGTTTACTTCTATATGGTTGTCAAATAGAGAAGATCAATGCTTTTATTATTTAATTTTTTATACTTTGTTCTTTGCTGTATCTTATTTATTTTTGTGTAAACATGTTTATTAGTTTTTAACTTTTGTTTACTACTATTTATTTATATCTTATGAATTTAATTTTTTCTTATGTTTGTGTTTTTGGTTAAGTTTTAAAATTTGTGTTAATGTATTTTATTCATTTATAATTCTCTAAGATTCATGGAGAAGTCCCTAATAGAATAAATATTTGTTTTAGCTAAATTTGCTACTATGCAACTAAATGAAATTAAATGAAAAGTTATACACCAATGAAAGCGCTCTATAATGGTTGCTGTCGAATAACTGAAAGTTTGTGTAGAAGTTATAATGCAGGCTAGAAACCTATCTGGGACATTAATTGCAGTTTGGCACCTCTCGAAAATGCGGATAATGGTTGTATGATGTCTTTAAAGTGTTCCTTTTAATCCAAAGATATATTATATCATTCTGAAGTAGGATGTACGCCATTTAAATTTTGAATCCATTTACCTTCTTCATAGAATAAAGATGTTAATTGTTGCAAGGATCTTTAAAATATCTTTGTTCTGGAAACAACAAATTAAAAAAAACCGAACGACAACTTATTAGTCTTTTTTTCTACTTTATTTTCATACATTATTTAGCATCTTCTACATGAGATCTTCATAATGACATGACTGACAATCATTTTCAAAAGTGCTTCAATACCTAAAATGGACTAAATATTATTTGCTTAATTGTTGTGTGATATATATAAAAGCACAATTCTTCTAAGTACAAATAAAGGAAATCAAATTCAAATCCATTCATCCAATTTCATCAATCACTTTAAATAGTGGACAAAGCATAAACGATAGAAAAAAATGTACAAATACAACTTAAATCAACATAATACAATAATTTATAGTCCTGCGAATGTAATTATTTTCTTTACAAATATTTCTGTGTCAATGATATCATCTGCTATCGATATCATTAAGGAGCTTACTGTAGAACACAACTTTTCACCCGAACTTCCATGTATTTTCATGTGTCTATTCAAATTACCTTTCTGAGCGAAATTCTTACCACATACTTTACATTCGAATGGCCGTACGTCTCCATGCGTCAATATGTGCACCTTCAGATTCTTGTATACTTTGAATGTTTCACTGCACACATGACATTTAAGTGGTCGTACGTTTCTGTGCATCAATTTGTGTCTCAGCAAATTTGAACAGTATCTGAATGCTTTACCGCATACGTTGCATTTCAGTATCTTTTTAATGTCCGTATGTGTCTTCATATGTTCTTTCAGATTGCGGCGCTGTTTGAATTTCTTTTTACATACATTACATTCCGACGTGTTTCGGTCCTTATGTGTCTTCATATGTCTTGTCAGATAGCGGCGCTGTTTGAAAGCTTTATCGCACATAGCACATTTGAATGGTCGTTCGCTTCCGTGCGTCAAATGATGTGTCTTCAGAGTGCGAAAATCTTTGAATGTTTTATTGCACACGTGACATTTGAATGGACGTACCTTTCCGTGCGTCAATTTATGTCTCTGCAGATCGCTGGACCATTTGAACGGTCTATTGCATACTTTACATTCGAACCATTTTTTGATTGCTTTTCCGTCATAAACCACAGTCCTTATTTCGTCATCATTTCCCAGGTCTGCTTGTATTGATTGGTCGCCTTCATTTGATACCTGAAATGAACTAAAATGATTTGCTTATAGAGTTGATTATTGTTTTCTGTGATTTTTGAGCAGCAATAATCACAGGCATTGTGCAGATATCATTGTAGATTCTTTGAATGGCAATAATTCACTTCTATGTTTCAAAAGTAGCTTGGTGAATTTTAATAATAATTTGAAAAAAGTGTTAGTTGTGTTGTTTATTTAAGACAGAAGGATTAAGAAATCGATATAACAAAAATGATTCGGTGATTCAAGTGAAAACTTTTAAGTTTCATTTTGGTATTTGCTGTAGGAAATGATCGCAAAACATCATTTACAATAAATAAGAAATAGATTAGGAAATGTTTAATTTTCCCTCACATGAAGCAGATGTTTTTGATCTTAGCTGAGATTAAAAACTTTGTGAATGTTTATTTCTATATTGAAAGGAAATATCTTATTCACATACCGTTACTTGCGAGATATAGAGCGGCAAAGTAGACAATACGAAATAGTATGACAGGTACATGATCAAGGAATCGAGAAAAGATGTGGAAATCGTTGAATTCTTTTCGAAAAATATTTTTAGCAGACAACCAATCTAATGAAGTGATATTTGTCGTATAAACTGAGGGGGCCGTTTTTATGCATTCCGGTAAGCCGTATGATCTATGACCAAATATAATCACAAAACCTCTGTCTTTTCGCGTAATAATTTTGATTACACTCTAAAATTTTTCGTTAGTTACAATGAATAATAATAGTTTCATACAAATGTGATTACAATTTGTAGTATTAATACAAACTCAAATAAAGTAGCGCTAAAATTCAAATTACTTAAATATAAAACTTTTCACAATTGTTGTAGAATGTTGTAAAAAGTTGTAAAAAAAGTTACGGATTTTTCCTTTTTTCTAACAATAATATAAATGAGAAATATAAATACATTTTCAATAAAATATCAATAAATAAAAAACATTTGCCGTTAACTACAACAAATTTCTAACAAAGCCTAAACATACATAAAATAAAATTAACATTTCTTTAATAGGCGTAAAACATGAAGAGAACTGGCAATTACAACAGAAACTGGCAACAACT